TTGCTCCATATTTAATCATACACTATTAATTTATCAATAACTAAAAATATACTTTATGGTAACCCCACATTCCAAAGCCAATGAAGAATACAAAGCATTCATAACTTTATTAAAAAACACATTATAATTATGAAGTTTATAATTTTTCTGTCACTCAGTCATCTCCAACAATTGTCCTTTTTAACATTAACATGATAACATCAAAATATAATTCACATCCCAAGTCAGCATGTATTCTTTATCACACAAGGGTAATGTTTGCTTAGCGGACACCAAACTTCAACTTTGCACTTCACAGACAAATGTACCAAACACCTTGGCACTTCACAAATTTTGTGTGTGATGAACAGGCAGGTTTTGTTATTGTGATGCACACACAAATCTTGTTGTCTTCGAAGCAAAAATGAAATTTGGTGTACACAAGCATTTTTCTATTAGACAATGGCACAATGCTATTGTTTTCTCTTTTATCTTCAGAAAATTTAGATAAATGCTCACTGGATCTTGCAACTGCTGATACATTTTGGCGGCAGTGTTATCCTAAACTCCAGACAGAAGAACATGGAACGTTTTCTTTGTATTCTGTGAATCAAAGCATGCAATATGCAACTCCTATCATCGGAACATGGTTTGCTGATGTAGTTTATTTGCCTTCAGGTGTTTGAAGCATATGTTGGGGTCTTGTTGCTCAAAACTGCTGCAATAGGCTTTGTATCTGAGTGGCAGGTAAAGAAGTCCTAACTTATAATGCAATGTAGTTTGCTTTGTGATATATCAAAAGATAGTTTCTAGATTATATGGGATGTTTAAAAAATGGCTAGTGAAACTGTTTGAGAATCTTTCCTGATGTACACTTTGGTATGACACCTTGAATCACATTTTTAGAGTAATTTTACTCTTCTATCCTCACTGTATAGTTGTTACTTATAGCTCATAAAGTGAGGGTCTAATATAAAAATTACTCTCAACAATGTCTTTTTAGGTGCACACCAATATGTACCCCTAGCATTAATAGAATATATTACAGTTTGTGGATACCAATTGGAGCTTCCGCTAAAAATTCACCTTATTAACATATTCCTCGTCCTAGAGTCAGCTTCCTTGATACCATCTTTGGCCATCCAGTTTCACTCCAATTAAATATATTACTCCAAATCTTATTGAATAGTCATTTCCCAAATGAATAATCCATTTCACCCAATTGTCAATTATAATACGTGTCATGTTCACATGGGGAGATGATTTTGGGACGGGGGAGTACAGAATATGCCTAAAACTTGTAAACATAAGCAGTCCGTGGCTTACCCAAACTGTGAGAGCGATGTTATTTGCAAATTGCCACCCATATGTGCAAGTCTGAAGCTTTAATGCTGTAAAAAAATGTGTGTTTATCCAATGCCAGGTTGTTACCTGTGGAGTCCTCCTAATAGTGATGGCGATTGGGAATTTCATCAACACAATGGAAACCCTTGTAACAAAATCGAAGGTGAAAGCCAAGATGAGGAGCAGCAAAAGCAAGCACGATTTGAATCCAGAGTTTGATGGTAAGACTTTGTGATTGGGGATTTTGATGCCATCTAGCGATTCCCCACTACTGGTGATTATTTTACGAATCTCTAGAGTCTGGACACTGGTTTCTTTTTTATTTTTTCTCATAGCTGTATAAAAATACTCTTTAGACATCATTGTGTGCACTAGAATGGTTTCTTGGAATGGCACATGTCCATATTTTGAGTGTTTCAATTAATACCTCTACATTTCTAGGTAGAAGTATGGTCGTCATTGATTACTTTTTTTTAGAAATTTTAAAAGTAGAAGCATGTAGTCATAGTCAAGAACTGTCCATGTAGTTCAAAACTAGGCGTAATATATTTGAAACAGAAATTGAGGAATAAGAAAGACTTTGTGTAGGATTGTCTGGTTAGGCAGATTTGACCTTAAAAAAACAGTTCCATTGATTGTAAAAAAGCAGGAGTGAAAGGACAATTCTTCACATCCAAGATAAGGTCATGACGCAAGTCACCTAACATGTAACTGTAATAAGGCCATTGGGTGTGGTGTGATCTACTTTTTTTTCCATCACAACCCAACAGACCACCATCACTTTTTAGCGGTGTGGATCACGCCCAATTTTTTTTATTTTCTTTATACATATATTTAAATGAAAATAATTTAAAGAAAATCATTAAGTAAATATTAAAATTAAAATTTAAAATTAAATGGACATAGTATAAAAAAAGGAAATAAGGGCAATACAGTACGAAATTGAAAATAAAAAACTACTTGTGATAGTGTCGGTCCGGTCGTTCACGGAACTTGTGATGGGTTTAGTTAAAATTAGCATTGCCCTCTAAATAATTGGGATTCATCATATGACTTTTGATACTACCTCCGTCCCAATTTATAACACCTATTTCGGTTTACGATGTTTGATTGAAATTATTTTCAAACCATTTTATATGACAAATGGTATAAAATTAAAAAATAAAAATTACATATTAAAAAACTACATCAAAAGATTTACAAAACTAGTAGTGACAATAATATTTTATTTTATCAAATTGCTAACGAAAATAGAAAAAGAAAGTGAATGAAGTTTGACCCTGTGAATAGTAAACAGGTATTATAATTTGGGACGGAGGGAGTAATATTTAGAGAAATTAAAAAATAAACAGGTAGAGAGAATATATTGAGAGGATGTGTGATTTTAAAAAGGATGAGGGGAGTTTAAATAAGGATTTTGGAAAAAGGGAAAAAAATTGAAAGCACCGTGGTGACCGTGATGGTCATCACCCCCATCACGGTCACGGTGGGGGGGGGAGGTGTTTCACGCCGATGTGGCGCCACCTGACCATCAATGCCATCATGGAGCTCCCACACCAATCGGCCTAATGTTTTTTTATTAGTGAAGTCACTTGACATGACATTGGAATTTGGATGAAATCTTGATGAAACAATATTGTCACACCAGGACAGAAGAAAGTGAAGCGCCCATTAAGGGAAAATGGAGTTGTATTATTGATATTGGATATGTAAACCATTTGATAATTTTGAGCTAACCTTATACTCTGTTTTATTGAGTATATGAGAAGCAGTTTGGAAGGGATTAAAGATGGAAAAAAATGAGACAAAGGGTAGATGGAGTGGATTCTAATTGTACTATATATCGCTCCTTCTATAGGCAAATTCTTTTGTGGATATTTAAGTCCATATTCATTTTATAGACTTTAGTATATAAAATGGTTATTTGTAATGGACCTTGTTAAAAGATAGAGATTCAATTATGAGTTTATGAAAAAAAATGTCAGAATGTCTGCATTTCACATGTGAACTTTGAGATCATAGTTATAATGAGCATTTTAGTCCTATGCGAGACATCAATTGCACCATTATTACATGCCAAAAATCCATTTTCCAACCAATATTGAGACCCAGAACTCGTTGTCTTGGTTTACTCCCATTTACGAGGTAAAATTTTATAGTTTTTAAAATTAGTTTATATAAAAATTGGTATAAAAATAATTAATAAAATTTTCATAATAAAAGACTACCAAAAGTTTTATAAAACACGAAGTGACAAGAGCATTTTATTTTATCAAATAATAAATAAAAATACTTAAAGAAACAAAAGTTATTGAGAGGTAAGTCTTTAAAAAGTTGTAATCCAATTTTAGACGGATGAAGTATTTTTTTTAATTGATCATTGTGAGTTTGTAGCTTTTGTGATGTGTTAAAAGTTGGATAATTATGAACGTAAATCATATATGCACTCTTTTACCTTCGAAAGAAATTATTTACACATATTTTTTTGTGTATCAAAAAATTAGAGAGACAACTTTAAAAACATATAAGAGAGATCACTTATACGAAGTACTCTTTTTATCTCTAAATTAGGTTCTAAAGCTCCCGTTTCATTACAATTCATTTGCACAATTTCATTATTTTAAGTTTTTTTTTGTGTAAAAAATAGATGAGAACTCACTTTGGGAATAAAGTTTATAACGAAGAGATTTATGTCATTTTACATCTGAAAATAGTGTTTTTATGATTGGGGCAAGTGGCCCTTTTTACGTGGTTAGAATTAGTCTCGGGCAAGCTAAAAAAATAAATTATTGTGACAAAATTAAAAAGTAACATGACATCACTAATAACAAATCCAAAGCAAATGTTCGTAGGGGTGCAAATGAATAAACCTACTTGTACACTGAGAATTGTACCGCAAATTATACGCGACAGATGTGCCCCGAATCTTTGATTTTTAACACTTGCGCAAAATGATAGTGTAAAATTTTTTGATCGTACCAACATCTGTAGCAGTGTGAACCATTAGGATATCTGGTTTATAATTTGTGTACACATTTGTGTACAAAATTACAAATTAAACATAATGAGTTACAAGATAAGATTTGTAGATGAAGATTGAAGACTTAATAAAGTCACTAACTAACAAGACTACACACATCTATCTGCCTACCTAGGTCCTCAAGTGGTTCTTCTTGTCTTCTTCCTCCTACTTTCAAATCATAATTAACACAAAATAAAAGTTTGTTTTGTGTAGGAAAAAATGGAAGTAAATCACTATTCCTTTAGTCCAATAATAAGGCTACACGATTGACTCGATCCAATTATTTAAAAATAATTGAAACAATTTTTAAGACAATCTAAAAAAGAAACGTGAAAGAAACAAAGCAAGTAAAAAGAACGCTAATAATAATAATTTGTTGGGATTGGAATTAATGGAAAATGAGAGGAGGAATACCATTTAAGAATAAAAAAACCAAATAATTGAGGCATCATTAATGAATAATTTAATGCAAATATGCCCATACAATATGTGAATATGAGGCACTCCCATCTCAAGCATAAATGTGATACTCTGTACATTTGATGAGAATCTATTTTTATTACCAACTTGCAAATAGTTCTGTACTTTTTTTTTCCATAACACATCTTTTCAAACATAGTTCAAGAGTTAAGGGCTTGTTTGGTCTAATCTTTCTATGTGGTTTTCCATTTTCTTTCCCTTCAGAATCCCCCAACCAAACAAGGCTAAGAGACAACAATAAGGAAAATGCACTAGACTGTATGTTTTGGTGGAAATGGAGAGCTACTCAGCTAGCCTTCATACAACACATTTCAGAAACTTTTTTTTAGTACAATTGCAGAAACCATTCATCCAATTCGGTAGTCATCAGCAAGGGCGAGGGTCCACCGTAAGGGTGCAATGTCAGCAAACCTTTATGTAACATTTTTTTTGCAAAAGGTTGCTTCGAGAACTCGAACCCGTGACCTCATGACCCAGCAACAAGTTGTGACACTGTTCACTAATGAGATGACTACACCGTCGTTTTTAACTATGTACACAATTTGGTTAAGCTATGTCCAGTTTATAGTACAACAAGGTGGGAGAACTAAAGCATGTTAAGATTCTGGTTGGCGAGCCGATCGAGTTGATGATGCACTCTTGGAAAGAAGAAGATCCTTCAGTTCTTTGTAAGCTTTGAGCTCCTCCAGTGCATCTGAAACCTTCCTAGGGGCAGAACCGTCAAAAGAAGAAGTCAAATCCTCTCCTTCCAGATTGGGATTTGCAGAAGATGTGGAATAACAGCTAGAATCTTGACGCAAAGGGGGGGCAGTCCTCAGCATTTGAACAAGCACACCAACCTCAGAGTCTTGTGTTTTTCTGTTTCCAAAAAATGTCTGTGATGGAGATTCTGAATCCGCCTTCTTGTCAAGGTTTAGACTGCATGTAATAAGAAGTAAAACTGGAAATAAATCGAAAAGATGGTGGTATATATCCTGACGAATTTGAACTTCAGATATTTTTAAAGCACATTCTTAATCAACCAAAGGCGTCATTTTTTTAACAAGTCAACAACAAACCAGCATAATCCCAACTCCGTTGGGGTATGAGAGGTCAAGATGTACACAATACTACCCCTGTAAAATCAGAGAGGCTATTTCCATTAGAACCTAGACGCATTGCTGCATTTACTGTCCAAGACCTCACAGAAAGTAAGAAGCAAGAGAAGTTTAATGTTCCATTTCTATTTAGTCCATTATGTACTCGAAACTCTACTTTCGAGTAGGGGTAAGGTCTGCGTACACATACGCTCTCCAGACCATACTCTCGTGGGATTCTATTGGGTTGTTGTTGTTGTTGTTGTATGTACCCGAAACTAAACGTTGTCAATAATGACTGTTTTAGCTCAATTAACAATGAGCGGTACAGGTATCATGTTTAAACAAAGTTGTTTATAACAAAAGAAACAGAGAGATTCATAACAAGGAAATAAGTGGCTTGATAATAATATTCGTTCCGCTTTTTGTCAACAAACACAAAATAAGACTTTGAAAATACTGCTCTGTACTTGGAAACAGGAAATTTCATGTTTTCATTGTCTTGTAAACATGTATGCAACTCTTACAATGTCATAAAATATTTAAGATATTTCATATTACGTACTTCTATAATATATCACTCCTTATAAAACATAAATACAAAGGGCACAGATCCATTAATAAGAAGGATCTTCATCCACAATAACATCCGAACATGGAATTGAAGGCTAAACAATTCACAAGCATTCAAGGTTTGTTTACTAATAATTTTTTTTTATTTTAAATTTGATACTCAGAATGTTATGGAGTAAAACAGTACTAAAGGGCAATAAATATAAAGGGAGTCTAGAGCTTGTGAGATAAACATGAAGCAAAAAGTACCTGGCTACGGAATTTGGAGCATCAACATCATCAACTACAAATGGGCAAGAAAAATCAGAGTCATCCAAATCCCCCTGAACAGATACTCTACTAGAGCTCCTAGAGAATCCAATACGTGGCGAACCGCTTGAAGAAAAACGTCCTGAATCATCTTTGACATCTCTTGACAGCTGGCCACACAGGTTTATAGTGAAAATTTGCACCAAGCACAGTACTAGAGTGCATTTGGATGACTTAATTTCAAAGAATAAGTGCTTTTTAGAGGAAGGAAAGCACTTCTACTTGAAATAGAATAGTGGAACTTTTGAGATGACATGTTTCACAGGAAAATGAAATAAGTGCTTTTACCAGTAAGAAAGCAGCAGATTTGTTCTCTTAAGAAGAAGAACATTTTATGGTTAAATGGAAAGCCTATTTGTGATAAATTTATTTATTACATGAGCTATCCCAAATACATTTCTTAATGTGGTTTGTATACAAGTAGATAAAAAAACAGTACAAGGAATAAAAACTTAAAGATTGCAAAATGTATACCTTTGGGCCCAGATTTGCAGTACCAAAATTTGTTTCCCCTGCCCTTGCTGCCTCTGGTTTCTTCAATGACCTAATTCCATAAGAGTAATCATGTGAAAAGGAGTCATGCTTTGTGCTCCTTGGAGATTGTGGAGGGAGCAAATTTCTGCTTGGGTCAGAAAAATTTGTAGAAGTGTATCTGGAATTTCTGATAGTCATTGAACGCGGGATATTGACAGGGGAAGTTTCCGAACACAGCTGAGATGGTGGGGAGGCGTACGCTGGAGGGGACAGAGACGGTGAAAACGGTGGAGATAGAGATCCAAGAGACTGTTCATTCTGAATTAGAGAAATCCCCTTGTGGATGCCACTTGACCAACTATGGGGTCGCTGAGACAGTCTTGAAGTAGATGACTGTGTCCTTCTTAAAGGATATGATGTTGGTTGGACGCCCTTATCTAATGACATGGAAGAAAATGCTCTCATAGGATCAGCAAGAGGACTACCAACATAATCTGTGATAATCTCGGGAGGAAAACAAGCAGAAGTCTCCAGATTAAACTCAGATAGAAGATTCTCACGATAGGCCACAGATAAAGTAAAACGGCCATGTTGAACATCAATTGGAATGAAAGAATAATGCCTCATCAACTGCTCTTCTGTCCTAGAAAACGGAGCACTGAATGAAGATACCTTGTAATTAATGTCAAAATTACAGTGTTGGGAAGAACACAGTTTCTTGAAGGCCTTGTAAGCTGGAAGGAGCTTTGTCATTGAATAAAGGGACCGCAGAAGTATGATCAACTTTTTGTATGTTTTCTTGTGAGATGAATCCACACCTTGAGAAATCGAAGTCCTCCTACACTCATATTGAACAATCCACCTCTCTATAACAGTTAATGAAGAACCAGAACCAGAACCAGGCTTATCTTTAACAAGAACAATATCAATATTCATAGGTTCCGTCAAATTCCTGTGCCAAGAATTCAGATTTTCGAGAGCTGAAGGACGATCTCCCAGTACTAAATTGAACCACTTGTCACTCTTTTTCACTTCTCCCGTCCGCCCATGGTTTCGAATAGAAGGAACCCTAGAATCCAACACTATGTGCAAACTTTTCGAAAGAAACTGAGAAACAATCTGTTCAAACCTTCCATGCTCACCATGTGGATTTCCGTGCAAATCCATTCCTACATAAATCCTACTTCCCACATGTATGAATCTCCATAGAGAATTCTAGATCCTCTAAAGACTATACGAACCGAACAAATACTCAGATAGCAATTCAATTCTACACACTACACAGTCCTGGAAATAAACCAAAACAAAAAAGAGCAGATTATTCCAGATTCCAGATCACTTAATTAGTAAAGATCTAAGTAACTGACTCCATAATCCACAGAAAAACATGAACGCAAAGAAGAACGAGCTCAAATACTTTCAATTCACTAGTCCACACAGACAAATAGACAAACAAGAAAACAGATAATCGAGAATATAGATCAAGATTCAATGTTGATAAGAGGATCTTGAACTGGATCGGAAGAGGAGCCGGAGAAGATAGATTTGAAGAACGATAGAGATGAGGACTTACTTGGACGCACGAACAAATGGGGACGAGTGATGGCGAGAGGTTGCGGGGAGAATCCAGAGATGGAGAGGAACATTAATTTATGAGACTAATTAAGTAATTATCAGAGAGTAATGACGATCCTGAAGATGAGACAGACGGGTTTGGGTTTATTTTTTGTGCAAACGCGCGCATCTTAACTAGAAATGAATTTGGATTTTATTACTCCATCACAAAACCTAAATCATCATTCGAAACTAGTAGGATGAGTTTAATGTTTATTTTCTTTACAATTTCTTGAGACTAACTGATAAAAAACTTATTGGGTTTGATTTTAAGTTCCACCAGGAAGACTAATAATTAAGAGAGGAATGATCATTTCAATTTTGGGTTTAGAGTTTCAAACTCAGCGACGGGTTTGAGAAAGGAGTGCGATGAGAGGGAAGAAGCTTAATTGAGAAAAGAAAGAAATGTGAATTTACAATTTTATCTACGTTTTTAACAGGAATGTTAACAAACGATCATTCGTAGAAATGAATATAATAATTGAGGACTAAATTAGTAATATTTGATACGTAGGGACTAAATATGTAAAACGACCTATAACTAAAGACTTTTTATAGAATTTACTCTTTTAATCCCAACGGGCAAAGGTGAATAGAAAAACTTATCCAAAGTTACGTGCATGTCCCTTGCCGCAATATATGCCATATAATCAGTCATACATTATTTTTTGTACATCTGCAGCGAGTGTTTGTTTACTAGTAATTAAATATTAATTTTTAAACAAGTATCTACTCATTCTTGAGTAATTGGATATTTATTTTTCTAAAACTCAGTTATGTTCGAATATGAGCATTCAGTTACATGAAAATGAGTATTCTTTCATTTGACAATGAATTTTTTACGGATGTACGAGAAATACAGTACATTCGGACAGCAATATAGCTACTCATCACTTCCACACTAAGGCCCTGTTATTTTGAGTTGAAAAAAATTAACTTTTAATTTTTATTATTTTCTTTCAGTTTTTTCTAACTTAATCCAGTTCTTCTAACTTCTTCCAATTTATCTAAACGACTTAAAAATAGTATTTATATATGATGAATATATAATAAAATTATATATTCAAATTTATAACATACTACTACCTTAAACACGAACAATGATTAATTTTTTTTATCTAAAATTATAGTCTTCTTACATATTAACTTGGGTGTTCGTTTAATTGAGTGACTTTTTAATTTTTTAACGCTCCCAACATTTTCTTCTTCAAACTTTTTTTAATTTTTTCCAGTTTCTTTCAACTATTTCTAATTTCTTTCAACATTAACTCTGAAATTCTAATATAAAATAAGGTCTAAATGTGTTACAAACACGAAAATAATGGGCAGTGGGCACAAATAATTGTTACCAGTACCAATTTGTAACACATTTAATTAATGTACAAGTAATATATACCAAAAATCCAAAATAGTACCGAGTATACCCTAACACAACCCTCCACCAATACGGAAATATATGTGGGATACCATTGTCTTTTGGCCGTTTTGGGTTTACGAACTTGGACGGCAATCACATCACAATTCACAATTTCTCATACTCTTGTTCTAGTTTTGCAAATACTCCGTAAATCCTAAATACTAGAAATACTCACTCAACATAATTAACCGAGTATAAGGGTCAAATATTACGGGTACCCGTCTGGTTTGGAAAATAAGTATTAATATCTTCTCTATTTTTAAAATTTATTCCTAAAATCTCTGTACTTTCAAACATTGCATTCATGTCACCACTGATCATTTTCCGGTCATTTTTCTGGCGAAAAGGGAGAGATTGGTGTCTATTTTTCAAATCACAGGTGACACTTGTGCTTATTTCTTAATTTTTGTTTTCTCCTTTTTCCCTTTATTGCTTCTTTTACTAATCAAATTTTTTAAATTTCTTTTTAAATTTTTTTATAATGTTCTTAAAATTTAAAATTTGTTTTTGTTTAAAAAAATTAACATACGAGTATATTACATCTTTATGTCTCAAATTAACATTTTTTATTTTTTGTTTTCCGAAATAAAAAAGTAAAATTTTTTCCTGACAACTTCAAAAAATGATGAAGAATAAAATAAAACAAAATATAAAATGAATATCCTTTTCGGACATCCCGATTCTAAAGACTTTTTAGGCATCATAAAATTTCTAAAAATTTCTTTTTGAATAAGACTTTTTTTTGCATGTTTCAATTTTTTTCATTTTGTTTTTACATTAGTCATTATTCAAGTAAGTATTTGTCATTACTGGACATTATGGGCATTATTAAGTATTGTTTAGGGAATAAAACGGGTTAAATGCTATTTTAGGAAATGACTTAAATTTAGTGCTATTTAGTGCAAATGTTTCATACATATAATAGCTTGTCAAAGAGAATTTGGGTCCACAAAAATAATATTCAAATATAAACTAAAAAGTGTGCAATATGAATATATTTTATAAATAATATTTAGAATACAAATATGATAATGCACAAAAATACACAAAAATACCGCTTTAATTGAGAATAAATAAAGATTATTTTGGACTCGATACTTAGCTTGTGAAAAGCACTTTCTCCGTCCCACAAAATTTTTCTTCTGACATTTTCCGTTTGTCCCAAAAAATCTTTCTCATTTCTATTAAAAGTCACTTTTAATTATCCTAATAATTTTTAACCTACATATCACATCACATTTTTTCATTATTAATTTACACATCACATTTACTTTTACTCTTCAACTGAGGGTATTTTTGGAAAATAAACACCAAAATATACTCCTTTTAAACTTTTTAAAACTCAAAACCAGAAGGGCTTTGTGGGGTGTAGAGAGTAGCAAACAACCACGTAAGACAACATTATCTCATAGTTTCAGCTAAAAATTATAGTTGAAGAAATTTATTATCGTGTATTTTTTTGTCTCATTTTAAATTTTTTTGTTGGAGTATTATCCTACATCGGAAGTTCAAGAACAAAATAATCGGTATATAAGCTCTTGAGTTGAACTAACTAATCGATTGGATTCAAACTTTTAATGTGGTTCAGCCTAAGTGTCTTATTGACCAATTCAGATGTCCATACGCATCCTAAATTTTATCATGGTATCGGAGTAGGTAAAACCCCACCTCGTTTGTCAAGGTGTTCGTCTAGACGTTCATTCCTAGCGGTCTGTTAGTCTTTAGCCTAGTTGTCCGTATGAAGTATGTACCCAACGGCCTGTGACCCATTTAACACGATTGCTCGTCTGGAAGTCTATATCCAGCGACTCGTGGTTCTTACTGTGTTGGCACTCAAAAAAAAGATTAAGGGAATGAGAATTCATTTTCAAGTGGTCAACTGATTAGATTCAAAATGATCCGATTGTCCACTTGAGGGGGAGTGTTGGAGTATTATCTCACATCGGAAGTCCACGAGCAAAATAATCGGTACTAAGCTCTTGAATTGAACTAACTAATCGACTGGATTCAATCTTTTAATGTGGTTCAAAAGTGTCTTATTGTCAATCTTTTAAAATGAAACAATATCTTCTAGATCCATCCGATGGAGTCGGCGGGTGCGTCGTTTGAATTGGCACAAATGTTCATATGCATATATATGTCAAACATTAGGTACGAAATTAGAGTCCCAAACAGTACACAAGCTGATAAGATGGGTGGAGAAAATATATTGGTCCGGCCTGTGTCTCATGCCATGGTAGCGTGGATACTTTTATATTTATTTGACTTTAATTCGAAGCTACTAATAACACGTTATATGTATAGATATTAGTATTCAAGTTAGCTCAAACCATCATTGACTTCGATCTCGTTTGGTCAACCAAACCCTCCATGTTATTATGTCAAATCAAGAGCCAAAGTTTTATCTCCAAATTTACTCCATCTAAGGAGTAATTTTCTTTTTTTTTGCTCCTCACATTCATGAAATTATATTTAGTCATGATTTGGGGTACTCTGAGTTTGACCCCATTCTCCGTGATATAATTGTCTTTACAAACACGGAATATTTGGTAAATGGATTATAAATATCCCCATATTTGTAAATCAAAGATAAATACTCCGTGGACCGTATATGCATGTATGTGAAAACAAAATGAATGAACATAAAATACTCATGTATTCAAAAATTCAATTGTATTCAAAAATTCAATTACTACTCACTCAGTCCAACAATAATATTCTCGTTGCGTGTTTGAGTGAAGTTATTTTAAAATCATTTTATATGAAAAGTTGTATAGAATTAAAAAATAAAAATTACGTATTTAAAAACTGCATGAAAAGATCTACAAAACTAGAGGTAGCATGACTATATTATTTAATCACATGGGCAACGAAAATACGCCAGCAAAGTGAATAAAATTTGACCGTGATCCATTTACCTTGCTTAAACCAAGTATGGAACCCAATATAGTCGATACACAAATAATATGCGATTTCTTATCCATTTTAGTGGGTGCAACTGCACCCATTTGACCTTATGTGGCTTTATCACTGCCTGTGAATGCTGAATGGAAACATTATTGTTGGACGAAATGAGTAGTGAATTGCACTGTTACCATTTTCGTTTATTCAATAATACTCTGCATTTATGAATTAACATACTCTCATTGATTATTTGAGAAAATGAAAAACTCATATACTTATTATTTTATATATTTGTAAATATTACTCTCTCCGTCTCAAATTAAATTCCTTGTTTACTATTCACAAGAGGGTCAAACTTGCTTCATTTTTTCTCAATTTTCGTTAGTCATTTGATAAAATAATATAGTTATGTTGCCACTAATTTTGTATATTTTTGTGCAGTTTTTAAATATGTAATTTTTTAAATTCTATACCATTTTTCATTTAAAATATTTTAAAAATAAATTCAGTCAAACATAGTAAATCGAAATAGAGAATTTAAATTGAGACGGAGGTAGCATTATTTTTACACATATAATTTTATGTTTTATATATATATATACTAATTTATACTCCGTAATATGGAGCAATAAAATAAATTCAAAAACGGAAGGTTTTGTAAATAATTCGAAGAGTAAAATTTGTTTTGTAAACAAAAGTCTAACGTGCACAATGACATCATTCCTATCCAATAGATGGGGGCCTTTTTAATTTCACACACCGACTTGGCGAAATGACACAATCGCCCCTCCACTACTTTTGCTGATTCCATAACATCTAGCTCCCCCGTCAAATACATTGAACCTGGACACACACTCCAAGTCCGGTGCTCCGGCCCTATAAAATCGCAACGATTTTTTTCATCTTTCTCCACACCAGTTCAAACCGTTCATTTCACCATTTTATTTTTCCACAATTTCTCCAGAAAACAAAAATTAAATAAGCAAAACGGATGGCTCCGATCTTGGCGGCGCGGCGGAGGGAAGGGGCGGGGGCGGAGGAGGAGCTGCGGAAGAGGTACGAGGAGATGGAGAAGGAGCTGAGGAGCAGCCGGGAGAGGGAGGAGAAGATGAGGAGGGAGCTGGAGAGGACGTGGGAGAGGCTGAGGGTGGCGGAGGAGGCGGAGGAGCGGCTGAGCTCTCAGCTTGGGGAGCTGGAGGCGGAGGCGGTGGACGACGCTCGGGCTTACCGGGCCCACATTACGGCGTTGATGAATCAGCTAACGGCGGCCACCAATCTCATCCGGCCTTCTTCCGCCGTTTCCTCTTCCGTCAGGATTAGTAGTAATAATCATAATAATTGCCGCGATTCATTGTAGCTAACTGTAATAATTTGTGATCGCAAGCAGCTTTTTTTTGTTCTCTTCTAATAATTTGTACAACCTATTTGTTTAATTACTAGTGTATAATATATATATATATATATATATATATATATATATATATATATATATATATATATATATATATATATATATATATATATATGTTGTGTTTTGTGAGTGGGTGTTTGATTAAATCTATATAGCTTTAATGTATATATTCATCCAATTTTATCATATTCCCATCAACTTTCCATGATTATTGGAGGTTACTATGTCAGATCAGATCTCCTCTAACAAGGCCATATATATAATTAAGACCCTAACATCCATCAATCTCTAAGTAAATTACCGAGTAAAAATATTTGACTAATGTTAAAGCCACAAACAAAATATTCACAAAATGCATAAACTTACCATTTGTGTATTTAAGTTTTTATTTTTTTTTTAATTATTTGGGACTACTATTTGTAACTATTATTTTACATCTTTGATAAATTTGTGCAATTTAATAATATTTTATTTGTGACTCTAGCATTATTCAAAATGTTTTAAGCCATCATTCAATCAATTTTAACTCAAAATGTGGTTGAGCTTCATTCAGTATTTTACATACTCCGTATCTACTGATTGGGTACTGGGTTTAGTTTAGATAACAAAGAATGAATAATGGAAAAGCCTCTAATACTACTTGAGTTTCGAGTCATATGACTCTTATCCATTACAATGAATTGTGATCTAGTATCATTTTATAAGTAGTTCTTTTTTATCTTTTATAATGTTGGTGTTAATTTAAAGACTAAAATAATAATTTCACAATGATAATATGTCTTTTTTATTTTACACAATTTCAAAGGACACTTATGATATATCGTTTGTGATTAACAATCACTTTCTACTACAATCATAGTCTACACATGCATCTTTCGTCAGAATTTTAATCCGCAATCATAGTCACTATTTTATGTTGTTCGTCTAATCAATATCAGAATACGTCACTGGACATAACGTTGATGTCAAATTATACTTTTAACATTTAAATTAATAAAAACAGGACAGAAGATAAAAAGAGATTATTTGTACAAAGGTCTCAAATTAATATTTTCATTTCCTTTTCCACGTAATTTAAAAAAATAAAATTATTTCATTAAAATTTATAGAGATGAAAAATCAATATGGACCACTTAGTTTATACTTTTTATGGAATTAAAATTTTATTTTCAAACAAATAAAAAGGAAAATAGAAAGATTAATTTGTGTGAGAGAGGGAGTATTCAATGAAGATGAGCTGATTTGTGCCAACGTTTTCTTCTGGTCTATATAAGAGATTTTATTTTTTCTAAATTAGGTGCTAGTTTTGTACTCCATATTTTTCAACGTAACGGTTTGCAAGATTCACTTTATTTATTTGTAATTCATATGGAGTGTTACTAAATAGACTGTCCTACTTAGACTTAACCCTCTCAATTATGACTTATTTTGCACAGATCAAAAATAAATTTAAATATGACCACATTCAAATGATGAGATCAGATTTTATTCTAATCTAATCAAAACTAATCATATCAGGTAAATGTGGCCTTACGCTCTATCACTCTTGAATATACTACAACCGATCGAACCCAAAAGCAGTTATGAGCATTTATACAATTTTCATTCTACTCTTAATCACCATGATATTCTCAAATGAGAAATAATTTTAGAAGAGAGTAGTTTGGAAGAGAAAAAAACATCAAATATGAAGTAACAAATACCCGGAGTATACAAGAATCATAGAACATTGCACAGCAAAACCCAGTCATTGGGAGTGGGAGGTGTGTGGGGGTGAAATGAAATATGAAAAAACTACGAAAGCGCTTGTGCTCCTCGTTATTATATGGGGTAATAATACTACAACCTGAAGATTCTTCATAAAGCAAGTGCGCCATCCCTAGATGAATCGGTTTTCCTCTTTGAGATTCGGATCCCTAAAAGGAAAACAAAAATTCATAATAAAAAAAATGAGACCGTGGTTTAGATTCGAGCAAGTCCAAGAAGACAGAGCATTGTTCACGACAAACCTCTTAATTTGATCAAGAATAAGGAGCCTTGGTCCGGGAGGAATGTTCACATCACGAAGCGCACTGACACAATAACCACACATGAGATTTTATTAGGAAATGCTGAAAGCGTGTTTGGTTAAATTGGACCTAACTTGTGCTGAAAAGGATCATTAAGAGGCAAGATTTAAATTACACTAATATACTAGGCTTGAATTGAATGCACGACTAACAATAAAAACCTAGTATCGTCCCAAATCTGTCGGGGTGTTAGGGGTTAATAGTTACCCCCACAAATCAGACCATTAGGTCTAACTCTTTATAAAAGGATCCTTGAGAAGATGGGATTTACTCACGTATACTATGGTAGACTCGAATTCATTTACTATGTACAACCAATTTGAGATATTTATTCAATACACTCCCTCCATCCCAAAATGAAGTTCATTGCTTGATTTAGCAGAGTTAAAGAAAAATTATAGGAAAGTGAAAAAGTGTGATTACAATATGTTTTGAAGAGAGAAATTGAACAGCCAAACAAAGTTTACTTCAAAGGAAAGTAACAAAGTGTCAACATTATTTTGGAACATCCCAAAAATGAAAGTGCAAACTTCATTTGGGGCAGACTACCGATTGAGTATTTAATCAAAAAATAAAAGTATATTAGCTCACCTGTCATTGAGTAAAGGCAGGGTGATATCTGTCAGCAAACCCTTCTTGAAATTTTTCTCATATTTCTGAAGTCCAAGGCCAGACAACATCGATCTAGTCTTGACATAGTAAATATCTTCTACAGGTTTCTGTGAAAAGTTTTGCCCGAACTGCACCAACCAAACAAACTATTTTCAAAGCCAAAATCTTGCAAATCATCAGTAGGTGAAACTCTTATAACATTATCAGCATTTGGGCAATACTTTTCCCCCCATTTTATGTCCTTTTGACTATTCATAAGATTGACCAAAACTCTTTTATTCTCATTATCAACTGAGAACATCAAATCCGTATTGCACTCAGATTCAGTTATCGTGATTTAAACGAAGTTTAGTATAGTTTTGAATATGCAAATTTTGGATTACGACTTCATATGCTAGGTTAAAGTCTATTTTGAGTTCTCTCATAATGCAGTAATGTTTAGTTTAGTATTGGTAACTAAATATGCATTTCAAAAATGGGACAAAGGAAGTAGTCAAAGTACTTTTGTCACAAAATAATACTAATGGTATGGAGTATATGATAACCATTTGTTTCAACATGTTAAAACGCTTGAATAGAAAAATGGTACTACGAGGAAACTTTTCACATGTACACGGGTGATTTGCTTCACTCAATTAATGAAGCCCATGATTAAGGCAAATTCTACTATACGGACACTTCTATGTACATGGGTGGCTTGTTTCACTCAATCGCCGAAGCCAATGATTCCCTGAACATGAGAAATTGGGGCAAAGATCATTTCCAGTCCAGGGACTAGTGCAGTATTTGTGGCTAAGCAAGTAACATGACCTTATCACCACACTCCAAAATCCTCTCATACTTGTCAAAATAAGTGGGTTTTATCAACCACATACTTTGCAATGAATGATGAGTGTCCACTTAGGCGAGAAGAATCTTTGACCAAATATATTTACCTTGAAAATTGCACCTTGAACGAATGCAAAGAACAAACCATTTTGTAAAGCACCAGCTACAGGATTCTGGCCACCATTGACACCGCTTACTAATGAAAACATAACTCCCGAGCCAAATGCAGCCACCATGCTGGAATCAGTTAAAAGAGTAATATATGAGCAAAAAGGTATCCTTTAAAAAGTATCAATGCTGTCCTATGATTTGCATCATTCGGTTTGTATGCAACCCAATCCAAAATGTTAGGCATATTTGACCTTACTAAACAAAACCACATAATTGTGGGTTTTGGGTGGGTTTGGAGTGTGGGTCTTTGGCTTTTGAAAATTGAAACTACTCTATGATCAGCTTAAAGCAGATCAAACAAAAAGGTGTGTAAACCAAACATGAAATAATTCTCCATGTCATTGGATTAATGGAGTGTAGTTGTATTGAATAAAACAGTGCATTTATGCAAATTTAGCAATGCAGAGTTGTGTTGGGTTGTGATTGGAGTGTATGAAATGAGCTGATTCTGGCTTTATTAACTCATTAGATGCAGCAAACTGAACCAAGTCTAGAAAAAAAAAAGATAACTTAAATAAAATCACCTTGACTGAACATCTTCCTTGCCTCTCAATCTTTTCATGACGCATGAAATACCAGCATTCACCCCGGTCATGACTGCAAAGTTCCGAGCTTGAAACAAGGGGCCACCTGACAGTGCCTGAAAAGTAAATTCAAATTACATTCATTTCAACACAAATATCAATCACATAGGGTCCGTTACTTGCAACAAAACAGATCTTTGAGCACAAAATCGACGTTTTTTACCTAATAGCAACGCAAACAGAACCAGTACATATGAAGGACAAGTGGAGGGCGATAGAAAAACGGACCTGAGCTTGTTGAAAAGCATTGGAAACGTTGGGATCGAAATTGGCCCCGGGAGGAGGGGCGGGCAAAGACTTAGAGAGGTCAGATGAGAAAGTGCCGAGGAGAGCGCCGAGGAGAGCACCTTGGGCGGAGCTGGTGGCGGTGACGACGGCGGCTTCAACCGGCAAGGATTGCTTGGCCAGCCAGCCCTTGAATCCGTCCTGGAATTCCTTGTACTTGGCCTGGAACTGCTCGATAGGACTCTGTGCCGGGATTTGAACGGCCATGATTTGCTGTTTCTCTTCGCCCATCTCTCTCAACTTCACTGGTATATGAACCACTGAGCTTCCTCCTCCGATGAAATCGCCCAATTTCGGTCTTAAACCCTTCAAAAGACTATGCGCGTGTGAGGTGAACAAGTGTGGTGAAACTCAAAGAGAGAGCCAAGCATAGGCACGGGTCTACAAAATATGGACCGGACCAAAAAACCTGCTAGATCAGTAAAACTGGATTGGTCTTCGGTCTAAATATTTATACCAATAATACAAATTATGTGTTTGTAAATATGACCTTGTATTTTTTAATTGATTTTCATTACTTTTTATAATTACAACCATTCACCTTTACCCCACAATCTCCATACTTATAAAAAATTAAAACAATTTCAAAAAAAAAAATTGAAGTATAATAGTTTAATTTAGAGTATTAGATCATTTGACATCTCACTTATTCTTGCAAAAAATGAAGTAAATTAAAGTGCAATTTTATAATATAAATTTCACAAAAGGTCCCAGTTATAGGTCGTTTTACATATTTAATCCTATATATCAAATATTACTAATTTAGTCCTCAATTATTATATCATTTTTCACGAATAGTCCTTTGTTAACGTTTTTGTTAACAACATGGATAAAATTGTAAATTCATACTTCTCTCTCTCCTCTCGTACTTTTTTTCAAACTCGTCGCAGAGTTTGAAGTTCTAAACCCAAAACTGAAATGATCATTCATCTCCCAATTATTAGTCTTCCCGGTGAAACCTAAAATCAAAACCAATAAGTTTTATGGATGAGTTTTATCGATTAGTCTCAAGAAATTGCAAAAAAATAAACATTAAAATTCATCCATGAAGGTTACTAGTTTCGAATTTGGGTTCCACCAGTTAGACAAACAATTGAGAGAAGAGAGATGATTTTGGTTTTGAGTTCAAAGCTTCAAACTCAACGACAGGTTTGGAAAAGGAGTGCGATGGGAGGGAGGAAGCTTAATTGAGGAGAGAAAGGAGTGTGAATTTATAATTTTATCCACGTTTTTGATGAAAATGTTAACAAAAGACCATTCGTGAGAATGATTATATAATTGGGGACTAAATTAGTAATATTTGATATGTAGGGACTAAATATCTAAAACGACCTATAATTGGGAACTTTTTATGGAATTTACACAATTTTATACTCCGTAATATTTTTGAAATCTTACAAACTAAGAGAAAAAATTATTTTAAACTTATCATATTGTTGATTAAAATATTTTGCATTAATATAATTTCTTGAAACACGCCCAATGCATATGAAATTTTAGAGTAAAGTTGAAATCAATTCAAGTCAAGCTACATTATTGAAAAACAAGTTTAAAAATTTGACAAAAATTTTTTTAAAAAATTGGGTTTTCCAATTTTTACCCGACTGAACCGGAAAAAACTCAAGACCGGAATCTAACAAGTCTGGTTTCCGGTCCTATACTTTAGGTGATTCCAGTTTTTCCGGTTCCGGTCCGGTCTGGTTCTAGATTGGTGTACACCCCTAGGCATGGGTCCTAGAAAGAACGAAAAATTTTGCGATTGGTCCAAGGTTTACAATTAAAATGTAGATCTTTTCACATTTTTAATGGGCTTGCATATTGATATTTTTTAGCAATACCCCCTCCATCCCTAAAAATTGCCACATTTTGACTTTTTTGTTCAAAGTATGGTACCTTTTGGCCGCAAAATAAATATAGTTTAAAATAATTAGATATAATAAAAATTTGATAATTCAAAACTATATTTAAAATAAATCCAATTTTACATCATAACTAAACATACTTTTTCTATAATTCACGGTAAAAAAAATGCCATCATTTGACCAAAAAAATCAAATTGTGACAATCTTTTAGTGACGAGGGGCGATCAAACATGAAAAATTGAAATTAATAACTCTAAAAGATTAGCAATATATTGCATAATACCGAATAATTTATTAGGATATTGAAAATAAAGTAAGGCCCGGGGGTGCTTCGGTGCCCCGTTCCTAAAATTGACGGTTCCTACCCCCTAACCTCTTGGTAAACTTCCTCCACCCTGCCCCGACCCGAACACGCCCCTCCACCCCCCTTCAATTGCACCCCCCAAGTTAATTTTGACTCCAAAGTCAAAATTAACTTGGGGGGTGCAATTGAAGGGGGTGGGGAGCGTGTTCGGATCGGGGCAGGGTGGGGGGAGTTTACTGAGGGAGTTAGGGGGTAGAAACCGTCAATTTTAAGAACAGGGCACCGGAGAACCCCTAAATCATCCCATGACATTAGTTCCCAATGTCATGGGAATCCCCCTCAATCATCAAATGCCCAAAAAACTAAAAAAAAAAATACATGCGCACAACACTCACGGGAGCAATGTAACTGAATGAGGCGTCTCCCATGCGTAAGTGGTATTCCATATTTTCGATTATTCATAAACTTGGCCGCGGATAAAAAATACCAAAATAATCTCAATTAATTCTCATTTAAGTAACAGTATTTACGAACGACAATCTTAAGAATAAATCTCAATTATAGAGGACTACGTATGTAATTAAAATTTATTAAGGACTGACCTTATTACAAAAGACTATTTTGGAAATTTACTCTTTTATTTAATTGGAAAAGTGTAATGTGAGATGTGACTTGAGGTAGTAGTATATTGTAATCCGCAACCCTTTTCCCACTCCATGCTTGTTGATATAAAAGTGCACGTCTCTCTTTCTCTTTTAAATTTCACCATTCTTCTTCACCTTGCAATCCGCAGTCCATATAAAAACAAGGGAAGAAGATGGAGAAACAGATTTTGGATTATGTTTTGGTGCCACTGGGCCTCTTGGCGATGGTGGCTTATCACCTATGGCTTCTCGCCCAGATTCGGAATAACCCCAATCGCACCGTCATCGGCGTCAATGCTATCAACCGCCGCTTATGGGTCCGTGCTATGATGGAGGTGAGGTCCCGTCCCCTTATCCCTCCTCTTTCTCCCTCCCATTAATTATCTATTCTTTCACTGTTATTAATTATGTAAATGTATAGGATGTGTCGAAGAACGGGGTTTTGGCAGTTCAGACGCTGAGGAACAACATAATGGCGTCCACGCTTTTAGCGTCGACGGCGATCATGCTGAGCTCCCTCATCGCCGTCTTGATGACGGGCGTCAACGGAGAACGTTCCATGAGGCTGTTGTTGGGGGACCAGAGCGAGCTGGCTTCGTGCGTCAAGTTCTTCTCGATACTGGTGTGTTTCCTGGTGGCTTTCCTGTTCAATGTGCAGTCGATAAGATACTACAGCCACGCCAGCTTCCTCATCAACGTACCCTGCCGGAGGAAGATGGCGGCAGAGGCTGGTCGAGACAGCCCGTGCGGGACGTTCGTGTTGACGGCGGAGTACGTGGGGAGGACGGTGAACAGAGGGAGCTATTTTTGGTCTCTGGGGCTCAGAGCATTTTACTTCTCCTTCCCCCTTTTTTTGTGGATCTTTGGACCTATTCCTATGTTCGTCTGTTGCATGGTCATGGTCTGCATGCTTTATTTCCTGGACGTCACGGTAGGTTTCGGGTTGGTGGTTTCAACAGTTGAAGAGTCCAATGATGAGGTGGAGAACATCTTGGGACTATATATATAGATCAGAGCTAGTTTAGTAATTGGTATAGCCTGCCTAAGATAGTTGTTACTCCCATGTTCTATCCAATGGCTTTCTCCTAGGTTGCTTCGATATTAAGGTTTGATTTTCCTCTCCCCATCAACATTCCTACTTATTTCATTGGAGTATGTTGATAATGAAAACATTATAATAATGCAATTGATTCTTTTTTACCTGGAATAACTGAGATTAATGACAAATACAGAGCAGTTATTTTAACATCGATCTTGCATTAAAACTCACCTTGGTGACCATCAGCATTTACACGGATATAGTAAAAAGCAGATTACGGATGGAGCAAATTATACCTGTTAGGGTACAACATCAGAAGCTTTCAACTTGAGCCTCATGTTACCGGCTTGAACTACAATTTCTGCTCGAGAAGAATCCACTTTTAGGACTAGAGCTTTCTTGCCAAGAGAAAGAATATGTACCATATCACCAACCTTGGGAAGTTCAGCCTTCTTCTCAGCTATACTCAAAGAATAAGATCCACAAGGGTAAGTAAGCAAGGAATCGTCTCTAAGCACTGGTCACTTAGCAAGAGATATTAATGCAAGATGTATTTGGTTTGACACAATTTTTAAAAACAATTCATTGACTAAATTAGAAATGCTCGCATAATTTTGCATCGGACTAACGATAAGTGCATCTAACTAAATGAAGGAAGATAGGGAATATCAACTCATTACCTACTACATGGGGATTTAAGTTTTTGAACGCGATCTCCTCCCTGGTAGCTTCATTAGGACTTTCAGTTTTTAATGAGTTAGCATTGTCACTTTCCAAATCACTTGAATCTACTGTTTCAGAACATTTCCTGGGAGATGCACGAAATTGTCGAGCTCTCCTGTGGAGTTCCGAACGTGCTGCTGCTGCTACTCGAGACAGTTCTTCCATTTTCCTGTATCTTTGTTCCATGCCATGTTCAGCGATTCTCTTTTTGGCGACAAGGAGCTTCTTATATAGCTCTTTTGATAGCCTGAACAAAACCAACTATTTAATAAATTAAAACAGTTTACGGTATGACAATCAATCAAATGACAACTTACTTCAAGTAATGTTGAGTCTCATGAACTTGCTCATGAATCTGCTGCTTAAATCTCTCCATCTCAAGTATTACCTGCAAAGATTTCAGGAATATAAAACAATGAAAAATGATGACATGAATGCATTGAACAATGGTAAAGTGCATAAACTAAAACTAAAAGGTTGCAGTTATTTTCTCTTTAGATTGGGGCACATGATATTAACATGACTCAGCAAGAACACTGCATACCAAATTTTGCTTGAATTGATAAAAAATGCATAATCTGCACACAAAGGTGTAGTTTGGCAGACCATAATGACATGTAATATAATGTAATCAGATAATTTGTAGTGTAAACTTACACCACATAAATTTGATAAAATTTTGTTGCGTCATACGAAAGTGCATGATCTAGAGAAGCCTTTCCATCTACAATGTATGGCATAATAAATTCAAAACCAACCCAACATAGAGTTATACTGCTAAAAGCCTTTCATCTTCATTGTTCAAATATTGCAAAACGATTCTCAAGCTGCAAAGGTAGTTGGACAACCTAGATGTGCACTCATCCACCTGTTACTAAGCACTGGTGCACAAATACATGTTATTGGATGAAAGTACCTCGTTAATTTCTAAATTGGCTGCTCCATAAAGTTCACGAGCATTGTCCAGGATTGCCTTGGGCATTCCAAGCCTCTCAGCAATATTGATTGCATTAGAGCGTCCTGCCACCAGAATGCTTCATAAGTTTGTGCTAAAATGACAATATTCAGATTGTGTACTTCAGCATCATGAAGACACGAATTACAAAAGAATGTGTCAGCTACTTGGAGATGAAGAAAACATAGAAGGTTAAATTATCGGAAACAAATAGTTCCTGAGACAGAACAAAAAATAAGAAATCCTAAAAGATCAATGAGAGAAATGATACATTGATTCTATAAAATAGAAAATATATGATTAAAATTAGCAGAACTTTTTGAAGTGAGGAAGAGACTACCATTACAAAAATAAAAGAGAACCTGGAACTCCCCAAAGAATTTTGTAAGTTGGCTTCAGCTTCACTTCATCAAATTCCATGCATGCATTTTCGAAGCCCTTGAAGCTGCCAATGTTGATATTTCACTACATGATAATACACCCTTGGGAGGAAATTATTTCATGCATATGAACATTTCATCGTAAAATCCGACACCTATACTTAAGGGTCTTGAGTTCTCCATGATGTGTTGTAGCTATTGTCAGCAAAGTACCAGCTTCTGCAAAGGACTCTAGTAATGACATCCCCAATGCAGCTCCCTCCAGAGGATTTGTCCCGGCGCCTACCTACAAGAGAAAGCATGGATAATGATGTTACAATTACTTGCCCAATAACATACATTTTTGTAGATTACTAACCAAAGTAATCTAGCAAATGTACATGAACTGCTAGTACATACTTCATCTAGTAACACGAGGGACATACTTGTGGAACAAGACTGAATCTTCTGCAATTTATGGAAGAAAAGTATTAAGATAACAGATAAGATGTTCATATATTGCATAAAGCTGGGCATTTTAACTCGAGACCTATTATGAAACCTACACTAATTTGTTTTAGATGACCCGAGAAGGTGGACAAAGACTGGCAGAGGGACTGTTCATCACCAATATCAGCCAATACAAGGTCAAACCAAGGTATCTTCACTGGTTCAGAAGCTAACACATAAAGCCCTGAAACATAATAGTATGTTCAAGTAACTAAATGTTTACTTTATGTCTATAAAAAAACAGAAAAATCTAGCAATTACAGATTTTTTGTATGCTCTTCTTGTTGACATTCCACAATAAAACCACCGGTTTTTTTGCAAGATTCCATGAGCTACCCTAACCCAGAAGAGCTATATGGGGAACTAAAACTCATTCTTCACTAATATACTTCTAAGTTCCATGACCTATCCCTAGCCAAGAACAGATAGGCAAGAAACTAAAACTAATCATTGGTCATATACAAGTTTTAGTGGTATGTAATGCACTATGCCAAATGTGACCACTTAAAAAGCTTTAGTTTTCCTGGATCAGAATCAAATTCCATTATGATAAATTACAGCACATTCCTTTTACCATATATCTTAGACAGAAAGTGCACATTGATCCACTATAATTAATAAACTATTCCATGCTCCCATAATTATGTTCCTGACTTGACTTGGATCACTTCTTAACACAGTAAGAATTATGTGGTTTAAATTTTTAAGAGACAAACAATTTCAACCACAAAATCGTTTTGAAAAGGAAAGTGGAACTAAATATTGGGACGGCCGATATAGGAAAGGAAATAACATATGGGACAGATGGAGTAATAAATGAGTGATAATATTTTCAATTCTTAATTTCCAATATACAACTTCTACCATGAGCAACAAAAATGAATTTTTATGAACTAGCCTTTCTTGTATTTCCTTTTTTACTTCGGTAGAAATAACAAAAAACAAACACAAACAGAAAAACAAAACAAAAAATACAAAACAAAAACTTTTCCACACCTGACTTTGCCATCAATGCAGCCAATCCAAAAGTCTTCAAGCTAATGGTTTTTCCTCCAGTATTGGGACCAGTAATGACCAGAACTTTAGTATTTCTGTCTATAAATATGTCAACAGGAACAGGGGGAGCTTGTATACTTTCGGCAACCTGAACAAACAGAGGAACATCATAATGTGGTTATATTCCTCAGAAACGTATGCATTCAATATACAACTAAATCCTAATACTAAACTTCCACCTCCATCTCCAAGGACAATATGTCAAAGATTCAGAGTTGATTTAAGTAGGGTATTATTATTATTATTACAACAACAACAAGAATAATAATAATAATAATAATAATAATAATAATAACAATAATAATGGATATGTGCAGACTTGTGAACAATCAGAAAATACTTCTTCCATCCCTGAAAGAATGTCATGTTTTCTTTATTTGGATGTCCCAAATAAAAGTACCATTCTATTTAAGGAAAGAAATTTCTGGTTCACATCATTTCTCTCTCCTCTTCATAAACATCCCCCATACAATTTCACATTTTCTTAAACTATATGAAAGTCAACCAAGGACATTCTTTTAGGGAGGGAGAGAGTACTAAAGCAATAAATGGGAAGTGGGACTCAGCTTGATTATATAACAAAGATGTAACATGTTGAGCATGATAAATAGTTACGTTCCAACATGAGGGGGACTGGGGAGTGTTGGATAACAGATGCAGTCTACAGATATAGTGAAAACTTAGAGCTGTAGGTGTAAAGTTACCACTGCAGAAGACTTTGAAGAGTTTAGTTCTATATATATATATATATATATATATATATATATATATATATATATATATATATATATATATATATATATATATATATATATATATATATATATATATATCAATGTACTCCCTCCGTCCTATAAAATTTCTTATACTTTCCTTTTCTAGATGTTCCAAAAAAACTTTGCACAAACTTTATTCCTTCTTTTGGTAATGAATATATGTGGCTACCAGCATTTCTCTCTCCTCTAAGCAAATTCTAATTACATCCTTTTTACTTTTCAACAACTTTCTTAAACCTCATGAGGTCAAACTGCCAACATAGGGAGTATTAGTTATTCACATTGTGAAATATGCATTCTATGATTCTCCTGCTTTCTTTTACTTACACTTACCACCAAATGCAACTGCGTGACAACAGATGGAAGAAAGCACTTACAGAAGTAGCACTTCGAGATCCTCTCACCATGCTGTGAAGGTTTTCCCGATGCTTCCGCAGCAGTAAGGGATGATGTGCTTTTGGTATATACAAAGTCCATTTTCCTAGGGAAGGATGTGATGCTATGGAGGTTTCATCATCCAGCATTGCATCTGTAGCAACAGTGTTGTCCTTCACTCGTGGATAAAACAAATCAGGATATGTACCCCCATATGAAAGGCCATATTGTGCTCGAGCATTGATCTATATGTATGTAGTGAAAATGAATGTCAGTGGTGTCCATACTAACAGCTGCAAAAATGTAAAAATTAGATTACAAGTGATTTATGGAAAGGCAAAAAAAGGTTATCAGAAGCCCACAAATCAAATCTTTGAGGTCAACTAAGTCCAAGGTTTTAGTCCAAACCAACATGTTAATTGGGAAACGTGGATTGACCAAGTATTTGCATGCAAGATTTGGGTGCCTTTATATGGGATACCTACGGCATCTAGTTTGACTATGATGTTGAATGTATTCTCAAGACAATAAAGATCCTCTTGCATCTGCAATCCAGAAGAACATAAACAAAAATATTGCAGTCAGAAATCCACATAAATGATAAAACTAACACACTACAATACTAGCTAATGGGAACCTTCTTTGTTATCTTTAAGAGAACATCAGCCTCAGCCTTAGCCACAGATGCCCTAGCTTGTTGCAACTCATTATTTAATGTAACAGCTGGTAGAGGTTCTATAACACTTCCCATTCCTGAACCACTACAAAAAACTACCAGTCTCAGCACTAAGCACATTTTATCAGACACATGCTCTGCTAGTAATATGTTCCTTCATCGTGCAACCGTAAAATATTTTTCTAAATTGTGTCATGTTTCACATACGGAACAAAACAAAAGAAAGTTCTAAGTTTATAATTACATGGTAAACAAATAGATAACTGAACTAGTTCAGATACCTTGACAACAGAAGGCCTTCAAGGCCAACTCTTTGAGCAGACCCAGATGCTATGCACCATCTCCCGTCAACAGTGCGCACTTCCTGAGCCAATTATGTGAGAAGAGGCTGTAAGATTTGAAATACAACACTCCATCTGATTGCTTAAATAAAACTAACTTTGGAGTATATTTTTCATTTATCGATCCAATATCTCAAAAAATTACCTTAAAACCAACTAGTTGGGGTCGGTGGCATTGATATATTAGTGTCAATCAGTTTTATAAAATTAATTATCACAAAAAATTCATGTGCATGAGCATTACTTCCTGTGCATAGTTGGGGTCGGTGGCATTTGATTGCACTTCTTGTTAAAACCGCCATTAGAAAGAATAATGAGATGAAATATCTTAAAACCATCATCATATTATATGTTATTACCACACACATGATAAGAATCATGGGCTGGCAAAGAGTTGGAAAAAGAAGAGAGAACAAGTTACCAAAAAGGATGTTTCCCCTGTTTCGTTCCTAATCAAAGCTTCCATCAACTGGTATAACTGAATGTAGAAGATGATTAAAACATAAATTAGGTAGCTCATAAAATATACTAAATGTGACATAAAAATGTAATACAACCATGAAGAATCTTCTCATAAAAATATTTCCAGGTAATGAGAAATAAAGTATGAATGCCCATAGCTTACGGATATTAGAATATTTGCCTATTTGGTATTCCATCAATCAAGTAAAAGCTTGTGGTGAAGTGAACAGGAAAAAAAGAGACAAGAATTACCCCAAAGCTAATGATATCAGCTAATCAAAGAAATACTATGAATAGTAAGGGAGAAGAAATATGGAATTGTACCTTCCTTTCCAGAAAATGAACTTGATCACGTGATTGTTTCAAAGTAGAGCTCTAAACAGGAGTTTGCAGGCATTAGTATTTAGTCAACAATTAAAACAATCCATAAATCTGTAAAATTATCACTATACTAGTTAGGAAACAAACCACAAAAAATATGGAACAAGATGTTTGGTCGTTATCTAGTAGGACATTAGTTAACAAACCAAAAACTTGGAGGGCATGAAGACAGCTTAATATGTTAAGAAAAGGTTAGATGATTCTCCTATAAAAAGAACACACCGCAGAATCCTTAACAGAGCCATCTTCATCAACCAGTTCCTGTATGAAGCTCACTAAAGGTCGGCTTGACTCAAGTTCCATAATCTGCAAGCACAAACATAACATAACTGGATATCCATAAACACAGGTGGCCAGTGTCCAAGAAAAAGATCAATGCACATAAATTGCAGACTACCATTTCAGTAAGAGGCATGAAGCGCTCATACCACTCTGAATCTTGTTTGATTGCAGATTTAACATTTGACTTGATAGCATCAGCAAACTGAAGCAGAGCTGCAAGTGCAACAGCTTCACTCCCACTCACAGGAGAATCCCTATGTGCACATTGGAGAGCAAATTTCACCTTCATCAACAATGAGCAGTGGAATCATTAGCATGAGTTATACACACTTGGCAACATTTTACAGCACATTCTCACAATCTCACACGTTCAGCCACAACAGCAGGAATACTCCGTGATTACATTTTTAATTTCACTTTTTTTGTGATTTATATCCAATGGAATACAGAGTATATTTCAGTTCAAACTTCAAAGAGAGCACAATACTACGACGTAGGTTATAGGAAACTGAAGCTACCAGTTCAACATCAATTCCAGCGAACTCCATCATTGCACCGTAGTTACACATTTCCACAGCAGCTCTAGTTTCCTTTAAAAGTGAAATACTATCTTCGAAAGTTGGTGTCAACTTCCACAGCTTTTCCTAGATAGAAGAAGAAACTTCAATTGAAAATAAAATTGAGAAAATTAGGTAAATGCCGTGCACGTGTTGTGTTCAGTGTTCACAAATCAAACCTTGGTGGCTTCCTTGCCAAGTGATGTGCCAGCGAATGAAGCAACGGCGTCGCAAACCTTGTCCCACTCTAGGATTCGGAGACTATCGAGAGCTACCGAAGGTTGATCGCAGAAACAAGACGAGGATTTCAGAAGGAACGCTCGGGACTTGAGCCGGGGCGATTTCCGGAAAGTACTGTTGCGGTGAGAAACGCGAGGAAGAACGAGGAAGCTGCGCAGCGGCTGCCGGGCCGATACCGAGGAAGCTGCGCAGCTTCTGCCGATCACGGCGAGCGGCGACTGCACTGTGCATTTCACTGTTGGAAGAACGCCGGGAGTTGCAGAAACGCGGGAGAGACAGGAGTTCATCTCCATTCTTCATACCATATCCAGTCCGGTGGGGAAATGAGTGGAGTGCTCTGTTTTTCTTAAGCGGAAGAGAGTGGGCCTTCTTACTTACTGCCCTGTAATTAAATAACTTGAAATTTGTAACTAAAACATACTCCGTCCCAAAATATTCTTCCTATTTGATTTTTTACGGTCTTCAATATTGCATTTTGACCATTAATATCTATATTTATACGTAGATATATTTTATAATAATTTGATATTTCAAAACTACGTTTCAATAGAAATATATTGATATTAAATTTATATTATAATACAATGTATTTTTTCTACATATCATAGTTAAATTTTACAAATTTTGACTATGAAAAGTCAAATGAGAAGATCATTTTCGGACGGAGAGGTTAATTCATTTTCCGACTAAATTTTTTTATTCCCTAAGTAGAATTTAAAAATGGCTATTGAAAGAATAATTTCATGGGCTTTGTGGCCTTTCAGCTAAGGGCTGCATTTTTAAGGACTTGTTAGGCTTTTGGCTAATGAATCAACGGGCCGGGCTGCGTTTTTTAACTTACGGAGTATTTAGTTAGAATTACGGAGTATTTTTTTTTACGCATTGAGTTTTTAAATACAAAGTATAAAAATATAATTTTATCCATCATAAAATTAATTTTCTAGTTTGATTTTTTAGTCAAATTTTTTAAAATTTGACTGTATATTACAGGAAAAATACATTAAATTATTTATATAAATTTATTATCAATACTCATTTTGAAACGTAATGATGAAATATAATATTTTTATAATATATATTTATATAAAAATAGAGATATTGATGGTCAAAGTATCGCATTAGAGATCGTAAAAAGTTAAATAGGAAGTTAATTTTAGAATGGAGGGAGTATTTTTTAAAAAAATCACACTCATTTTCAAATATAATAAATTCAAAATGATTTTAACTAAGTATCATATATAAAGCGGGCAAATTATATTAGATCAGAGGAGTTAAAAATAAGAATGTACTGTATCATATATTTAAATTTGGTGGATTTATAAAACAATCTGCTTCCATAAGATCAAGATCTCATTTGGTTCAAAGAAAGAATTCAAGTAAACTCAAAAGATCCTCTGATCCAGGCCACCCATAGAACTTTTAGAGTCCCTTCATAATGAGAATTCGAAATATTCTAGATTGATTCATTAAAAAAATATTTAACAACGAAAAAAACCTGCAAGTCTTGGGATCCTTCCTTACTTGAAAAGTGGCAGTTTGTCTTTCGCAATTAGATTTCATCAAATATATTCATTAATTATTTGCACCTACATAAAACTTTATTATATGAAGTTGCTCCTCATAAATGTGTTTTCATGCAAGTTTGCAATAAGAAGTAATTTGTGTTAAAGATGCTTTAATCACTCCACATGATATTAGTTGCATAAAGTTTCACACTTTTTATCAAGATTTTTTAAACACTTGAGGACACAAAGTTTCACACTTTTTATCAAATTGATCTAATCACTCTCCCTGAGAATATTTTACTCACATTTGAATGTCATTTGTTTAGTTAATGCAATGGGTGGGTTCTCTTAAATAATTTTATTTTTAAAACGTAAGATTTTGTCTTGCAAAAAATTATTACTCCCTGCATCTCATATCTTTCTTCTTATTTTGACTTTAGCCAAGAGACTAATCTAAATTTAGTTGAGATTATTTGTTTTTGTACGCATTTGACGACAATTTTTTTGTTTAAATTGATATTTTGAAAATATTATCTTTTATAACGTGTAACTCAAGCATTTTTTAAAGGAGGTGTTAGGGGTACACCTTTGCCACTAAAGTCCCCCACCCCCTCCATAATCATTCATTTTTATTTGATTTTTATTTACTTTTTTTTTAAATTTTCTTGCCTATTTTTGTGAACAAAGGAGGGGGTGGGGACATTTGGGATATACCTTTTGGTGTATCCCTAGCATTTTCCTTTTTAAAATATATATACTCCGGGTACAATTTTAAAAAATTCCAAAAGGTTAACCTTAACTTACAAAAAGCATGCAAAGGAGATGTTAAATTTGGGATTTTCCCTTATTATTGTTTTTCATTTTTTTTGGGGTTATTGTTACATCGAGCCTCGACATATATCATCAATACATTTAAAATGGAACCACAAAATAAAATTCGTAACAATCCAATTCCCAAACGGTTAATCAACCGTTCACATTTAGGCGGCGACAGGCGGCGCTTGTTCCGCGGCGGAGGCAACAACCACCTCAGCCGCTACATCCACTTTCTTCTCCTCCGCCTTTGTCTCCGCTGCTTTATCTTCCTCGACAGCGGCAGTGACGGCGGCCTTCGGGGCGGTTGTCTCGACCGCGGGAACAACATCGGCCGCCACAGCCGGCATTGCAGCATCTACAGCCGCATCCACAGCAACTTCCTCTGCCGCCTTAGATTCCGCCGGATCTGCGAGATCTGCCAGAGGCTCCGCCTCCTTCTCCGTAGTCTCTTCTCCGTTGTTCTCCGCCGGAACCAGATCGGGCTTTTTGGGGGAGAGAGGGGCCTCGGGGACGGCGGCCTCCTGTGAGTCCAGATCCTTAGGTTTGCTCGCGCAGGCTCCCATTTCTACTCTGATCGGCGGCGATTGCGACGAGAAGAGCTGAGGGAGGCGAGAGCTACGGCGGCGGCGGCCGGGAACGCTAGAAGGAAGGCTGTGAGAGGATAAACTTTTATTTGTTTCTTAGGGCTTGATGATTTTTATTGTTAGAGAACTCAATTTTTTTTGTTATTCCGAGGCTGGTTTGGAAGAACGGGAGGGGAAGGGATTTTATAGGGAATAATTTGGGGAGGAAATGGCGGGGAGTCAGTCCTTCCCTCCATCTTTGTAGTGATGCCGTTGGAAATACGTGGACTACACAAATTAACACAGAGTAACTCGCCAATCTTTTTTACAACGGGAGTAAATTTTGTCACATTTCATTATAAAATTTCATTACTGATTTCGGTAATTATCTAAAGCGTTTTCGATTTTGCAATCGTTGGGCAATTTTTTTTAAAATGCTAACGCTAATATCAAACACTGATGTTAAACGGAGCCTTAATAAAAGAATATGAAGTATGTACTCCCTCACTCAAAAACTCTTTCTTATTTTGATTTTTTGTCAAACTATAATACTTTTTAGTCAAAAATTTAATATAATTTAAATAAATATATGTTATTATACTTTAATTTATTAAAATTATATCCTAACATGATTCTAGTTATAATGAATTTACTTCATAATTAAATATACTTATTTTACAACTTAATTATGGTCACACAATGTCACAAGGTGACAAAAATAGTCAAAATAAGAAACGTTTTTTGTGATTGAGGTACTATTTTGCGGTGTTCTATTAGATCTTATTTGATAAGGAGTATATTTTTAATGCATTTTTTTAAAAAAAAAATTCTCCCATTTTTCCTAAAATTAAATTAAAAATAAATTTAGGCAAGTACGTTATACGTGTGAATAATTTTTTTGGCGATGGAAAGGGTATATTGTACAATGATATATATGATATGTATTTAATATAATGTTAATAGATTTATTTTAAAACAAACTTTGAAAGTATCATATTTTTATATGGTAATATATAACTAAACATAAGTAGAGATATTAATAATCAATTTATAGCATTAAAGACCGTAAAAAATTAAATAAGATAAAAATTACGCGATAGAGCTAGTACTTCCTGAGGAGGCATCATAGTATAATTAAAATTTTAAAATCTTTTCTAGACCTACCACTACATATGTATGCAGCTTTAGGTTTTGATTGTATATAATCATTTTTTACATAGTATTAGAATCTTGTTGATTAAAAAAAATGAGGGTGTTAGTGAATTGGAGTATAAAATCTTCTTTGTGCCTACAAATCTACAATGACAATTCACAACTTTGAGGTTTTTGCTTAATTGGTGTCTTGGTATTTCGTCTCATAATTAAGTAGTAAAATAGTTCTATGTTTAACTTTGATGAAATTCAAAACAAGTATTGAAAACTAAGAATTATTATGATTAGAAATTGAACTTGTCATTTGATGGATTTGTTGTTAAATTATGTGATAGAACTTATTAGAATTTATAAAAAAAAGGAAATTGAAAGTGCATTTTAATACGGATAGATAGAGTAATTTATTTGTTAATCAAATGAGAATTAATAAATAATGATATTCTTAATTAAGTATTGAAATTTGTTTGGTGGAGAACAAAAATCGTGTGCATCCTCCCAAAACGTGACAGTCATGTCTAGATAACTTCTGATCTGTTGTTTAAATGAAACAGGAGGACTTGGTCCAACTTATATTTGTTAATAAGTGATAGACACAATTTATTATTGGTAAATCCGTAAATAAGGAAAATACATTTCTTCTCATTTATTGCTCAAAATATTCTCTCCTTGTCTCATTTAAGAGTAATGTTAGTGTTACAAACAAAACACTTGCAAAATGCACAAACTTACCATTTGTGTATGTTTGTTAGAAAAATCAATGGTGCCTAATCTCAAATGACAAAAAAAACTGCAGAAACTCGAAGGGTAAAATTCATTTGTTGGTCATGGGCGAGACCAAAAAAATTTGTCTTGAACCTAACAAATTAAATAATATAAACTATTACAGTTTTTTTTAAAATAACAATCAATATTATAGTTGTACACCTAACAAAATTATGAGGACAATTTGAAGTCACACTTTCAACATGGTGTGTAGTATCAACACATTTTTCATCTATAATAACATTCGTCATTGTGACACTTTCACCCACAATACTTGGTGAAAAATGCATCGCATCAACAAGTACTTAAGGTGACAAATATTTTGATGTATACCATAATGTCTTCATGGGGCATCACACTATCAAAGGGATTTTTGTTGAAATAATACTCTCTTAACAAGTAACAACCCGAGGGCTCGGGGCAACTAGTGCCATTGAAACTTAAGGTCACATCTGTGTAAGGAAAGAAATGCCATATTCTTTAAGTTCCAAGGAAAACACCCTTCGGATATCAAACAATTGGAACTCCGTCGGGATCAAATGTTTTTTTGTGTGTCTAAAAACAGTATGGCCCCTAGGGAATTTTCATGTGATCCCTCAAAATAGTTTCACCACTACAAAAGAGAAAACAGTGCCTGCCGGTCTACACATTTCGCCAAAATGGTTTGGCATCCACTTACTCCTCTTTGTGGTTGCGAAGTCTCAGTGAGAAACCTGCGCCGCTAGCTCCATCTGCATTGCTTGGTTTACTGCAAGCACTAGACCACTGACCATCTGAAATTCCAGTTGAGGAACTCTTCTCGGCTTTGTTAGGCGAGAGCTCAGTGGGCCGGCTGCTGCTAGAATTGTTGGCATTCATTCCTTTGTAGATGGATAGAGCTTGAGAAATCATGGAGGCTGGGTCAGAAGCACCCGTTGGAAGCAATAATGTTGTGCCCTAAGTTGAATCATCATACAAAAAATCAATACATCCTCAAATATGTGAAAAAATTAATAATAATAGTGATCATAATGATTAGAATAATAATAATCATAATAATAACAACAATAATAATAAATAAGTGAGATTGATTGCCTTACCTCCTTCGCAATGTTACTGAAGGCTTGAATGTACTGTTCAGCAATTCTGAGACTTGCTGCCTGGAATCAAGCCCAATAGAGAAATCAGGCCACAAAATGCTGATAGTAGTACATATGGAGGGAAACAAACCATTGAGTTAAACTCAAAAAAAATTATTTTAGATATTTGCTCAAGCTCATTTTATTTAATTGGCTAATGTATCTAAATTTATTTAAAGAGTTAACGTTCTAATCAGATTTGATTTTCCTCTGTATTTTCAGCCATATATTATTTCCCTTTCCCACTGTTAGTCTAGCTCCAAACATAACCCAAACATTCACAACTCACCTCAGCAGCGCCGTGTTCCTTGAGAGTTTGAGAAACCACTGTAATTCCTTTTGCTGTAGCTTCTGCTCGGGCAAAAATGGCTTCAGCTTCACCTGGTTGACATAATATAAATGTAAGAAAATGTAATGACCTCTAGATATTCAGGTTTCTAAGATCTGATACACAATCCATTATTTACTTAACCTTTTCTTGTGTCAATTTTGATTCTTTCTCATTATCATATTCAGGGAAAGTGCAGTTAAGATCAAAGTGGAGACAACTTTTTTCGCCAAGGAACTAAACACTAGAGTAAATTATTGCTTTTTGAGATTTCAAACATTGAACATACCTAGAGCTCTGTTAACCTGATCCATTTTTGCAGCTTCTGATTCAAGGATAACAGCATTTTTCCTTCCATTAGCAATATTAATATTTGCTTGCATTTGTCCTGCACAAACACAACCATATTAGATATGTGCATAAAAAAAGTATCAGTGATGGATTTTTATTTTCAAAGTACTCCATAGTTCTGTTTATTACAACTTCCAACCCAAAAGACAGCAGCAGAATTTTTTTTTTGTGAATGCTTAGGCTCATAGAGTTTTAGCACAAATTATTTTTAAAATAAATTTGCTAGTGAGTAACAACGACTGTATTTCTTTTATTGCGATCTTGTTCAAAATGTGCTTTGTGCTGTTAACAGCCACCTACTACATGAAATCATGCTGATGGGGAAAACATTGAAGTCCTGTACAGTGGCTTATTCCTAACAACACATACCATCCTTATTCTTGCTATAGAAAACGTTATCAACAAATCCTTCCTACCCTTTTACTTTCCCTAGAAGTCATGATTGATGTAGCCCCATCAAAGTCTTCCTGTTTCACTTTTCAGGTGTTCATTTGGTACTTAGTAATTGTGCACCATTCATAGGGAAACAATATGTGCTTTCTTCAATATGAGACCTTTATAGAATGTTTAAACATGACCTTATTCGCGAATAAAGGATCACCATATCCAAGATGTTCAAAATCATGAATACACTACATTAACCAGAACGAATAAAGTCTTATACCTTCTGATTCCAGAATTTGGGCCCTTTTCTTCCGTTCAGCTTCAGCTTGCATCTCCATAGCTGCCTTAACACCGCGAGGAGGAGATATATCCCCTGAAAAAGGAAAGAGATGTGATTTGTCAAGAAATAGCAATTATCAAGAGCATGGAAGCAAGTCTAATCAGATTTAAAGTGGTATACTTATTTCATAACGGAGACACTTCAACCCCCAATCAGTGGCTGCTTCGTTGATGGCCATCTGCATGCAAATGCATTTAGTAGTAGTCATTTGAAACTTCTTAGAATAATATAAAATTATGATGCCAGCAAGCATTGCATGTTCACATCAATCACTTATGAGGCACAGAGCATCAGCGGAAGGGTGAAAACCATATGCTTAATTGCTTATATTCTTTTCAAGAGAAGTTCAGTACTAATGGCATTAATGAACATTTACAACCCAAAGTTGACATTGTAGGAACAAAGTGCACATTAGATATATTTGGATGATGAAAAGGAAAGTGTAATGCATGGAAGAGCATGAGTAAGACAAAAGAAGTTTGTAGGAAATGGAAGAACACAAACAAGAAAAAATGAAGGATATAATTGGTGTTGAAATGAGAAGAAAGAATGAAAGATACATGGAGGATATGAGAGGAGAGTGAGCATATATGTGATTCAATTATCTAAGTGATCAAGGGTCCATGTATTTTATGAGAATAGAGGTGGTGCAGTTATCAAGTTTATTTTTACCACTTAAGAATGGATATGATAAAATATTTGGTGATGTGAGTATTGTACTATCTTCCATCTCTTTACTCTCCACTCTGCACTAGTGCACTCCACCATCCCTCCCTTATACTTCTCATCCAAACAAGAGAAACTAAAATTCCCACCCATCTAATATTATAAATGATTGAAATTAATGGGTCCTGATTTCTAGGACGCACACAGAGATATATCGTGACATGTAGTGATTCTAAAGGAAAACATGTCATAAAATTTATATTTCATTTATGAGCAATTCTGGAAAAGAAAATAAGCCACAAATGTATCATTGAAATTTACTCTTACGTAACAACTACAGGCAGACATACCAAATACAGAGTAATAACTAATATGTAAAATATAACAACATAAACGTGCATGCTTGAACATGTTATGCAGTAATCATATCAATTAAGGAGTCAATGAAAGAATAGGAGAAATCAGGAAGAATACCAATGGCATGCTAGTGGCACCATGTGCTGTAATTAGGGTACTGTACCGTGAACAAAAAATATATAGAATAAAAACTGAACCACAATAGAAAACTCACCACTATCTTTTCATTTAAAGTATCTCTTTCCTCAAAAGTCTTGTCCAGCGTTATCTTTCCAAGCTCACTACGCATAGTTGTTTGTGCAAGTTGAATCACGGCATACAATGGATTATCAACTCCATAGGAAGCAAGTTTAGGATCAACTATCTGCAATATATTCCCCCAAGAGGAAGCACTATAAACAAGTTCCAAAAACTATAACAAATATTTGCATACAGGAGCTTGAACTTTTGAACACACATTTGAAGTGATATTAGAAGAGAGTAACCTTGATGTATAGAACACCATCAATGTGGATGCTGACATTGTCCTTGGTAATGGCCGATTGATCCGGAATTTGAATAGCCTCTTCCTTGAGGGAATGCACATAGGCAATTCTGTCTACGAATGGAACTAGCAAGTGAATTCCTGGAGTCAATGTCTTCATGTACTTCCCAAAACGCTCGATTACAAACGCCTTCTTCTCTGGCACAATCTGAATTCCAAAGTTGATTGGCGGCTCGATCTCGTGCCTAAACCAAATGTTGAAAACGAAATTGTAAAAACTACGAAATAGCCTGTAATTTACATCATCAATAAAACTAATAAAATCGTAGCGTGTATGTATGATGGGGAAGAATGAACTGGAAATATGCCTGGCACTAGGATCCCGAGCACTGTGGAAATGGCGAGTGACCGTGTTGAGGAACGGAGAGAGACTATTGGCCGGCGAGAGACGGTTGGTGACGATAGATGATCGTCCAAGCAGCGGAGAAGAAGCAGTCGAGATGGCTCGGGCGGCCATAGACGACGGACGAGATTGGAGTAGGCGTCGTAGCTTACAGAGATCGCCGGCTTTCACGACGGTGCTCATGGTTGTTTCTCCTAGCTCGAAACTGTAATTGGAGGATTGAAGATCGGATTATGAGCGGGTGGGAAACGAAGTCAGGCCCCTGAGGTTTTGTTCTTGCTCACAAAGCCCTAGTTGGGAAATTGATCTCCGGCTGTCTTGCGCCTTAAGAAATTTGTGTTCTGAAATGAGAAATCTAACTGAAATTAATCTAAGTGAAATTAGGAAATCTTTTAAAAAAGAGTGAATTTCAAAACAGTCATTTCTATTAAAATATTTTTTAAAATTAGTCCTCGATAAATAATAATTATCAACGTAGTTTTTTATAATTGAGATACATTCTCTAAATACTCTTTTAATTAAAATATTTATTAAATATCAGTCAAATAAAAGATATTTTGGCATTTTCTATCGTCTAAACTTAATATATGTTCTTGAAATGCTCCTTTACAATGAACTTGATGGGTGTATTCCACCCACGACCGGTCAAAAAAGAAGATCAATTAGTTGACCGGTCAATCTCGAAAGTTTTAGAAGGGAGACTTAAATCGTCAGCAAAACGATGTATAATCGGCCAAAAGATGACCGGTATACTTCACGAAAAAGTATACCGGTCAAACTACGTTGTCATCCTGTTTGTTCCCAGACTTCGATGAATTCACCCCTCGGAGATTACCCGGTGTAGTTTCTAGGGTTGGAAAGTGTCGGCAGAAGAGAATCTATGAGGGCTTGGCGTGTAGCGACCCATGTCAGTAGAAGACAACTGGAGATGCTGGAGAATCTATCCAAGGCACTACTCGACAAAGGGAATAATCCCCCTCACAAGGCGACAAGGCAGCTCAAAGACGAAACCAGTCACCTCGCACCACATCAGCATCGTGCCCACACGTGGGCGCACGTGGTCTTGTCCCCTTAGCCTAGTATAAATACTCATGTAAATCTCAGAAAGGGAGATCCGAATTCATTCTCTCTAAACTCCCTTGTAAAAGCACCCGTGCATTCTCCGTTATAATACAAACTGGGCTACAGGTGTTCCACCTAAAGTCCTACCGGTCAATCTACGAGTTTTTACCTTTCTTACTTTGCCAAATCAAGCAAACTATTCTAGACCCGGTCTAGTATAGTTTGACCGGTCAAGTAATTTACACCATCAGAACTATTTTTTCAAACTGATAATTTCTAGGTAAATATTTTCTCGAAATGGAGTCCAAGAGCCTACTCGCCCATTCCACTAGTAGTCACCTACTCAATTTGAAAGAAATATTTTGAAGACTTATTCATAGTTTAGATGATTAAAAATACAAATATACTCTATATTTAACATTCATTTAATATGCATTTTTTATAGAAGACTATTTAGAGAATATATCTCAATTACAAATGATTATGTTGATAATTATTGTGTACAGGGGACTAATTTAGAAAAAATGCATTATTAGAATAAATTGTTTTAGAAATTTACTCTTTTAAAAAAAATACTTTTTCTCCTATGTAACACTTTAATCCTTAATATTTCTCCGTAACACATAGCCTCAATTTGAAGTCAACGATCTGGTATAATAGGTAAAAATTAAATAATATTTTATGGATTAAATTCTACTCCGTATTACTAGATATTACTTCGGTATACATTAGCAAAAGTATTTTAATTTATGTTTTTTTCATTTCTTCATCGAATTTCTCATGTCATTATGCATATACTCCGTATCATTCTGCAATTTTTATTTTTTATTTCTATTATTTTTAGAAATGGACCTAAAAACCAACACTACCATTTGTGGATCGTCTTATATCATACGGAGTATGTCTTTTTTTTTAAATTCTATTGTTACAAAAACAATATGTTTATCCGAGTAATAAACATTTTTACCATCCTCAATTGTAAGTCTGCACAAAACTGTGGAGACCTTATGTCTACCATAGATTTATCTTTCTGCTCGCATCGGGCTAACTTCGTTTCTGAATGTTTATTTAGTTTTAACATTTTGCACTCGATTTAATCCCCCACTCTTGTCCCCTTCCGGTTTCAGTGCGGTTTTGGAACCACCAATTTCGAAGCAAGACTTGTCCTACTTATTACTTTCTCTGTCTTAAAATGTTTTTTTCCAGTTATTATTCAGACGGTCAAATTTTGACCACTCTCTTTACTTATTTTTGCCAGTTATATGATAAAATAATATAGTCTTGTCACATCTTGTTTTGTAGAGCTTTTGATGTATTTTTTAAATATATAATTTTTTTTTTTAAATTTTTATAAAAAAAATTTAATAAATTAAATTGAAAATAAAGTTAGTCAAACTTCCTAAACAGAAATAAGAAACATTTTAAAATGGGAGGAGTAGTATATACTCCCTCCGTCCACCTGTATTTGTTCACTTTCATTTTTGCACACCATCCAATGCAGTTCTTTAATCCATTTTATCTTGTAATTTGTATATAAAAAAATTATAAAAATTATATATTAATAATCTATATGTTAAGACAAATCAAACAAGATCACACATGACTATATTTAGGCTTACACATTGAGAGAATTTGATGAGTCAAAGTGCTTAGATGAATAGTTCCAAAAGTCAAATGTGGACAAATACAGGGGGACGGAGGGAGTACTACATAGGGCGGTAAAGAACCAATTGACTTAAACCCAAAAATGAAGTATTTCCTAAATATTTCTATGTCATAATCGACTACTAAATGACTGTTAAATTGGGGACATTTAAAAAAAAATTATCATCTAAGCTTCGAATAAGCACTCAAAATGGTCCTTTCAAATTAATTGGGTGACCGCTAGAAAAAAGAGTCCACCCGAAAAAGGTTCATGTGCCCCATTTTAGGAAAACAATTACTTAGAAATTATAAAGTAGCATTGCTTATTGAGAACTAATTTAGAAAAATACTTTTTTAGAAAGAATCAGTTTAAGAATTTACTCTAATTTAAATTTAACACATTCAAAAATTAGACTGAAGGATCAAGGATGTGGAAGGGGATGATAGGTCGCCATGGCTTATGTGGCAAACACGCATGCTCGGGTGGGGAAGAGAATACCGCCTTTTTCTGTGATCGTGACACATGTGGTGGTTCGGCAATTTTTCTCTTCTCCTTTTTTTTCTTTCTTGCGTTGCTTTTTCTTACCTTTTTGTGGTTTGCTTTCTTTCTTACGTAGTACTATTTAATATTTTTTCCTACTTTTCAATTTACTTTTTTACTTTTTTTTGTTTCTTGAACATTTTTTTAAAATAAAATTTTAATTTTGTAAGTGTCCTTTTACATCTAATACTCCGTACTCCAGCACTCAAAAAAGAGGAATGCTAGGGGTACACCATTTGGTGTACCCCATTTGTACACCAACAATCATAACCATAGATTTCCTTTTATAATTTTAATTTTTTTTCTTTTCTTGCTTATGTGTGGTGGAGATAGAGGGGGTACAAATGGGGTACAAAAATTGGTGTACCACTAGCATTTTTGCTCAAAAAAATTTAATTTCAATAGTTTTAATTAAAATAGATGCAAAGAAGAATCACCAAGGTTCTCAATGTCATGGGATGACTCAAGACCGCTCTAATGTCTCGTTCGTAAAATTGAACAGTATATAAAAGAAAGAGTACTAATACTTCTTTCCACCATCTATAACTCTTTTTTCTATATTTTCATACAGGGCCGGTCCCGAAAAGTAAAAAATAAAATTAGCTCGGTCCAAAATTTACATTTTGTGTCCTATTTTATATTTTTAGAATACTTTTGCTTTGAAATTATTAACAAATTTAAAGATATGGTGCCCTAAATTTAAAGAAGCCTTGTGCGGTTTGCCACTTTGCACACCTTTCGAGCTACCCATGTTTTCGTATTATGTCAATATAATTTTCCATTTTAATGCTAGTGAAATATTTATATAATGTTTTTACTCTAAGTAATTTTGATTTTAATAAATGAAAAAAGCATGCACGTAATCTACACCCCTATTCAATGGACTGCAATTGGAGAGAGAAAAGCTGACGTGACGCCTCGTGATTGGCAATACCACACCCACCAGCCTTATAATAGTCCCTTCCTGTAGAGGCTTGCTAGCTCCCAACATTCTTGTGCTTCAAAAGAATTGCATCAAATTTAACACTGTAATATAGCATACTCCGTATATAAAATATTAAAATAGGAGCTTGATGTTACTTTTTTCAAATAAAAATTATAATTTAAGTATATAATATCAAAAAACTACCAGTCTTAAAAATAATTCTTGTTTTGACTTCTTTAGTCAAACAGTGAAACTTTTTATTACAAATTAAACATAATCTAAACAAATAAATGATACTCCATCCGTCTAAAAATTTCTTTTCCGTTTTAACTTTACACGAATATTAAAGAAAGTTAAAAATGTTAAGACTTTGGGCTAATAGCATGCCCCCCGTGGTTTACATAAAGGGCGTCCAAACTCCGCCTGTTTTCAAAAGTTATTTGTAAAGTTCCTATGGTTTCTAAATAGAACACGCATGCCCCTCTTACTTATTTTTAAAACAAAAATAATATTTATGCACTTTCTTTTCCTCAATCTTGAATTTTTCCAATTTTGTTTTCCTTTATTATTCAAATATATAATATAAAATATATGCTTCCCATCTCAAATTAAAATTTTCCATAATGTATTTTTGACAACAAAAGATTTTTTTGGAGAATATTACAAAATAAAATGAAAAATAAAATATTATGTACAAAGTAAAAATAATAATTGAAAACGGCAATGAAAAGAAAGAAAAATATAAAAATCGGTCTTTTCTTTAACTACATTGTTTTCATCTTTTTGTTCTTCATTTTTTAAAGTCCTTAAAAAAGTATTTTACTTTAAAAAAATAAATAAGTTAGAATTTTTAATTAGAGATAAAGTGAGTATATGTTCTCTAATTTTGTATTTTATTTATTTTACTTTTACTTATAATGAAAAAGTGTAGTTTATTTCATTTTTTAATTTTTCATTTTCTTTTGTAACATTTTCTAAAAAACTTATTTTTTAAAAAATTAAATAAATGAAAATTTTTAATTTGAAAAAGAGGGCGCACATTTTATTTTATTTTTCTAATTATATATTTATCAGCACAAAAAAAAAGAGGCAAATTATTTAAATGACTTTCATATCAATGCAAATTAAATCGAGTATATTACAACGATTTAATTTAGATATATCCGTCATTTTTAATAAAAAATGAAAGAGGGTCTCTTTTAAATAATGGAGGGAGTATACCCTATACTGAACAAATTATATTGAATTTATATCATAATTAAATTGGAACAAAACATAGAGAAAACATAGAGAAAATAAAATTGTGTGTGAAGTGTGATAGTTAGGGTTGTGCATTAACATGTCCATACCGGAATTTAGACATGAACCGGATCGGAACTTTCAGGTCCAGTATTCGGTCCACCAAAATTTAGAATTCCGGGTTCCGGTCCGGTCCGGTCCGGTCTAAATCCGGAATTATCCGGTCCGGACCAGTATATAATAAAATATTAATTTTTTTAAATAAATGGTTAATTCATTAGACCATTATCCTTTCAAATTTCTTCTTTTCTTAGTCTCTTAGGCTCCTAGCATGATATGTAACTTAATTTCATTTTTTACTTTAAGTATTTTTTATTTAATTTTTTTCTTTGAAGTTTGAACTTTGGTTTGAGATTTTTTTCATGAATTTTGTAGTGTTATGAATTTATGAATTTAATAATTGTCCTCCTTAGTGAATTGTTATTGTTATGAATTTGGGGATTGATGGTATCATATATATATTTACATATATATATTTGCATATATAATTTAGATATATATTTTTTATAATGAAAATTAGGCCATTTATGTTTAAAATCCGGTCCATAATAGGGTAAACCCGGACCAGACTGGAAAATTCAAGTTCGGACCGTTCCGGACCGGTATCTAACAGGTCCGGTCTTCGGTCCTTGCAAATAGAGCATTCCAGTTCCGGCACACACACACACAATTGATTATATGAAAAAATATTTAAAATCCATTGACATCAATAATTATCAGTCAATTTATCATAACGCTACAAATGATCGATATGAAAATAACGTTAAATATTAGCGTTGGCGTGTTAAAAAGATTATCCAACGAGCAGCATTTAGCGTTTGCATTTTTAAAATTAAACTGTTTTGTTAAATTTTTATCAAAAACGCTAACATTAATCGAAAACGTTATTCTCAACCCGGCCCAAAGTTCTAGTAAGGGTTAAAGTCTCGAGTCTTTGAGCTTTGGTGTTGTTTGTTTGGATTGTATCTCTTAACACTTTTCTTGCCCTTAACTTTTTGTTAGTTTTTTAGTCGTGCTATGTCCTTTCTATTTTGCTTGAGCTAAGAATCTCTTCGAAATAAAATCTCTATTCTCAAGGGATAAGATCTACATACAAACACATGTCCCGTGTTTTAGAATAGTTTGGTAGATTTAAACTCACTACACATAAGCTTCTTCCTACGCCTCTTCCCGATGTATTGTTCATTCCAAAACTAATACTTTAACAGAGGCAAATAGAAACATGCTTGAAACTAAAATAAAGGGCCAAAGTAAACAAAAAAGGATTGTACGATAGGTCTTTACGGTTAACTAGTCCCAAACTATAAAGCCAAAGTCGATAGCTAAACTATGCTTCCTCAACGATTTTTCCCTTCTCACTGACATATATACCATCAAGGAATTTCCTGATATCCTTGTTCTTGACAAGGCATTTCTGAAAGAAAATAATGTGAACATTATAAGCTAGAGTTTGGGGGTAATAGAAAAAATAGTTAACACAGAATTCTTGACAACACATGTGTGAGCATAGAGTCCATTTTGCATGATAAATGAGAATGGTGCATTTTTAGTTAATCGCCAATACACATTCATGAAAAAAATGCATTTGTCGCAAATACAAATTTATGAAGAAACAAATGCATTTGTCGCAAATACAAATTTATGAAGAAACAAATGCATTTGTTGCGGTGGCATAGAAGCTTGATTTATTCACCAATATGTCACCACATATTTTCATTTTTTTTATAGGTTTTTCCATTATTCACAACCATTAGATCTTGAATCCAATGGATAGTATGTATTCTCATTACTCTCATGGTGACTGGTGCATCCATTCTCACTTGAACACACACACACACACACACACACACAGAGAGAGAGAGAGAGAGAGAGAGAGAATTGTGGCTTACTTGGTTGATAAGGGCACATGATCGAGATACGAGTTCAATGTCATTCCCATCAAGTATCAACTCATCCTTAACCTTTTCAGAGCGAACAACATTAACCCCATCAAGCATGTCAACTTTTCGAACCTGGAACAATGATCAAATTTAGAGCTAAAGTGTCTTTTAAGCTCGAGTTTTATGGACCAACAAACACTCAATAGAATATTGCAAGTACTATACATGCCAATTTAAACAGATGAACAACACAATCTAAAAAAAAGTAAACCTTTGAACCAAATGATGGGGGACACGAGCTAAAGTGTCATGCCAATATACACTTGAAGACACCACCCCTCGTGCATATTCATTCACAAGAACAATTTTTAACTCCAAATTCAGGGACACCATTACACCAATAATATATGCTTAGCAGAAAACGAAAAAATATGAGTGCCAATCACTGTTCTAAAAGTCCACATCGCATCGAAGCTGCGCAGGCACTACGAGGCCTCCCTCAGCCGCGTACAGTTGATTCACACCTAAGATCACCACCAACTAGGCATGATAAACTGCAGCCTAAGACTCTGCTCTGCGGTTTGCACTTTTTAGAACACATATAAAAAGGATAACTCTGTTAATCCCAACTCTATACCCAACACAGCCAGTATATAAAAACGCATCCTGTTAAACATTTTGATTCAAGAAAGAACAAATAGATATTTATGTACTCTGTTTTTTTTTTAAATAGAAGATTGACTAATAGTTACCCGAACTATTGAGTATAACAGCACCCATAATTATCAGAAGAAATGCAGCAGAAATCTATGCAGGTGAAGAAAATCAAACGTAAATGGGCTAAAAAGGGGGGCAATGAGCACCATTGAAGAATCCATCGATCAAAACCGAACATAACAAAAAATAGAGGAAAACCTTCTTCTCTCCAAGGAAGTTTCGGATCTCAATTGACTTGTTTTCATTGGTGATGGAGGCGTTGATGGGAAAGTGAGCGTAGACGAAGCGCATCTTGTACCGGAAGCCATTTGTGACGCCGGTGATGAGGTTCTGGACGTGGCTGAGCGCCGTACGGATAGCGGCCATCGATTTGCGCGACGCGAACCAGGCGTCGACCTTGAGCTTCTTCTTCCCGGTGCCTTCGTCGGTGATGAGCTGGAAATCGAGGTTGAGATGCTTGAAGTTGCGAGAAAGCCTACCCCTCGGACCTTCAACTTCAATTTGCTTCGCCTTCACCTTGATCTTAACCTCGTCCGGGATGTCCATAGTCTCCGATGAGAGAATCGTCTTCATTTTCTCTCCGTCGTCGCTCAAACCCAGACCCGATGCACAAAAACCCTACCTAGCTAGGGCTTGGTTTTATGTTGGGTAATTTTTTTTGATGGTGCCAAAACCTTTAAAACGATAAATTATGGATCTTCTCACTTACTTTCGGAAAGGGACGGTTTGTTTGTTTAGATGTCTGAATGGTTCATTACTTAATGGTTCAGATCGTTTGTTTGAGCCTCTTAATGGTTCAGATGTCTGAATGGTTAAGAGATTTGCCTCTGAATGGTTAAGTATTATACAAAGTCTGAATGGTTAAGACCTCTTATCTGAATTGATCAGACATTTACCACTGAATAGTTAAACAATATACTAGCTCTTAATGGTTCAGACCTCTTACTAGTTCAGCACTTAATGGTTCAGACCTCTTATTGGTTCAGCACTTACCTATTCAGAAGTTGCCAAACAGCCCCTAAGTTTTTCTTATATGGACTTCTTTTTTGTAATTTAAACATGCTTATTTCAATACTTGAAAATTTAATATATACGAAGGTTTACCATGGATCTTAAGTGCATGTAACAATTTACCTTTTATTTTATTTTCAAATTGTTTTCGGCACAATTTAAATTTTAAAATCCCTCTGTCCCGAATTAGATGCCGCCGTCACTTTTACAGAATCTCGCTAACTTTTATTTGTTTGTATATTTTCATTGATAATTTAATAAAATAAAATATTTCTTGTCACCTCTTAGTTTATAGAGTTTTTATCTACTTTTAAATGGTGTAATTTATACATTTTGTTTCCATACTAATTATAATTAATTTTTCTAAAAATGATGAGATTTTGCATGTTGTTTGGAGTGTGACATCAATATGGGATGGAGGGAGTATATTTTTAATTTTTTATTTTGATTCCATCTTTTGTTCTTTTTTCACAGAATCTACATTATTTGTTTTTCGGAAACCCGGATCCACCCTTTTTGGGGAAGAGGTAAGAGAATAAGAAAAAATTAGTGGGTCAATATTAAAAATTAAAAATATATAAAATTGTAATTATGATCAAAGTCTCCAGATCTTACAATCTTGTATTCCAACTGAGTTGTTATTGTTGCTTCGGATACTATTATTACTCGTTTTAAATTTAAACAATGCCAATTACAAAGCTACAAAGCGGGCTTTAGAAGATTGGATATTTGGTGTTGTGTTTAAGAGCACTTTGGGCTTTTACTAGATCCAAAAACTAATTTTGTGTGTTTGACAAAATTATTTCTGCTTTTGATGTATGACCTCAAAGTGTAAAATGAGTTTCAAATGCCTTTTTTCGCGAAGTTGATATTAAGAGAGTATTTGACACTGTGTTAGAAAATAATTTTTGAGCTTCTACTTCTTCTAAAAGTAGTTTTGTGTGTTTGACAAATTTAGTTCTGCTTATGGTGTATGACTTCTAAAAGCAAAATGCGCACCAAGAGTGCTTTTTGGCAAAGTTAGGATTAAATGATTTTGGCTTATACATTATGACTTTTGCTTTTCAAGTAATCCACCATGGTACCAAACACACTTAAATATTTTTGACTTCTGCGTTATGATTTCTGTTTTTCTAGGAATGCGACGAAGTGCCAAACACCTTCTTAGTACAGACTCCAGATCAGGTGGCCATGGAACACCGAACACTCAAATCTCTTACAAGGCTAAAAATAAAATAGTTACCCCTTAGACATCTACAAACATTCAGGACAGAAGTCCTTTTTTCACCAACATAGTTGCATGAGGCCAAACTTGCCCATAAATTCGAGCGAAATATCAAACCCGAATTCGTCCATATATGTAATGTTATCCAAACAGGCCTCTAGATAGCACAACGCAGAGCTTATTGATATACAACCATTTTTAATTATTAATTACATATTGAGAAGAATATGATTGTCACACCATATAATATTGCTCTCTTTCTTACTATACACAATAGTTATTAGAAAGGTTCTTTTTAACATAGATTATCAATGCCATAAACTGACATGGTACATTGTATTCACAAAATTAATTGTTCTTATGGTGTTTAGTAGATACTCCATTGTCAAGCCAGTGACACCGTAGTGTCCACAGTAGTCAGTGTTATTAACATGGGAGTGATTGCAAATGCACACAAGACATGACTATTTTTAGGTGGAGATGCAACATCAACACATATTTAATTACTACAAGTGGTGTTATCCTTATTTGAGAATCGGGCCGGTTCAATGGTGACTCTATTTGAGTAGCCACGGAAGCAATTACCCTTTTACGGTGCTTTGTTCATAAAATTAATAGTTTCTACCTTCTTAATCCCTTTGTTATACCTCCCCACCCAGTCCCGACCCCAACTCATCCTTCACCAAAACTTTAAATATAAAAACAATTGACCTCAAATAAAGTGGCCATAGAACTAACCCGTTTGAGAAAACCATGCGTGTCGAAGTAGCATTTTCGAAGGGGTAAAATACACTATTTTGGTTCAGTTTTGGGTTGCCAACCCAACCAAACTAACCCCAACTCCCAAGGCTGAGTCAGTGGAAAATGGTTATTTTGGAAGAAGGGGAGATATTTGTAATAGGGTGACATAAATTGGCTATGTGCTGATGTTTAGAAAGTTTATAAAAAAATCAAAATTTGGAAAGTGCAATATAGTGCATGATACATATTCTCTTGAACAAAGATGATACAATCGATTCATAAAAAGCACCAAAAATATTACACAAATAAACAAGAAAGGCCAAGGCATCAATAATCATCTTTGCTAGAATTACCCTCATTGCCAAGGCATCAGTCATCAATAATCATCTTTTCCAGAAATACCCCTCATTTATCATAGAGGCATCAATAATCATTGTGCTCATACTTCATAAGAACCAACTAATGGTTATATTTCCAAGCCAAAAGAGAAGGGGGAACTGAGCCAATGCAATGAAGAGAAGGAGATAATGATGCCTACTAGAATCGTAAGTCCTCACCTCTGCGAAAAGCACCCTCTTCATCGTCTTTACCAGAAATACCCCCATGCACAGACCTGCCCATGGCATCAAGAAATAGTATGCGTAGCTTGAGAAAATCTTTCCCAATACGGCTATAGACAACCCTGCAAAAGAGTATCCTGCATATGCCACGATATCCAGTAAAGGTGCTTCACCACTGCCAAGGGAGAAAAGTGTCATCTTCAGCAACAAGCATTGTAAGAACCACCCGACCAAACCCTTCATGAACAGCCAGTTTATTGCTTCCGGGCTAAACCTGGGAATGGCAAGCCAATTCATCGCACATTAGAACACTATATCAATCCTCTGCTTACGTAAGGAAAAAAATGAACTTATGGTGATTCTGCCAATGATGTGTCACACAGAAAACTGTGGGAAAATAAACATTTGAGTTTTGAATTCACGCTTGAGATGCCCTAATTGTACTAGCTCACCTTCCCTGGAGACCCAATGATAAACCAGCAAGGACAACGTAGGTGCCAAATGCCATAAAAGGGATGTACAAGTCCGGAGCGTTTATGTCATAGATTGGGGGCTTATATGAGAGCCTGCCACCTACTGGTTCTGTGATCCTTGTCCAATGGCCCTTTACAATCATTAAAATGGCAAGTTGTCATTCGCAAAACCCGAGACTAGAAGAAAATTGGGATGAGTTAGGAAGGTGGACAAAAATCTTACCCTATGCAGGAACGGAAAGAGTACAACTTTCAATTTGTTCCTCACATACTGGTCATTGACTTGGAAGTAGTACTGGGGATCCGAAAAGTAACGGCTTATCTGTTCATATAAACAAGTTGCAAAAAAAATGAATTTTGATTAGTAGCAACAAATAAAACAGAGGAAGACCATTTCTATCCAACCACCACCCCCAATATTATTTAATAAAACTTCTAGTTCCAATTAATCGAAATATTAACTTACATTTGGCATAAATGAAACTTCTTGCAAGAATGATGTTAATATGCAAAAAAAAAGTTCTGAGAGAATGGATGAAAACAACCCACCCTTGTAAGCTACTTACATTGCTTTGTACGTATTCTGAGCTTGTACCCAGAATTTTCTCTCCATATGCACCTAGCCCACCTCTTATTAAACCAGATCCTGCACCAATGAATGGATTTCCAAATGCATTTTGCGGCACAGAAGTTGGTGGTCTGGGAACTCCAGGTTGTGCACCTAGATTATCAAACATTTCTGTAACAGGAAACAATAGTACTTAATCACAATGGACATCAAAATAGCTTCATCTCTCTATAATATGATTAGGAAAAATTAATTTTGGGTATGATTGAATCTTGGAAACTGATAGGGAGAAGGGGAGAAATGCTATGAAACTATCATTTCTGTCGGGGAAAAATTAATGTCAGGTATCATTTCTTTCTTTCCAAATCACTCTTATATTTTTCTCTTTATTTTCTTTCCCTATCTGTTCAGATTTCAAATGGATCCTTGATCTCTAGAGAAAATTTTGAATAAAAAATGAATTGCATCCTTGGAACCTTCAATATGCATGATTATTCACTCTGCAGTTTTAAAAATTAAAGGTTGCAATATTGAGGATAGTGAAATCTTTTCTGTGTTGTTATCATAAACCACCAATTTTATATTGATACAACCAAGGATCTAGCCCTCTAGGGTTTACAAATTGATACATTGCAGAGAAGAAAAGCATGATTCATAGTAAAATTGAAATATAACTATTATTGTTGTTATTTCAAATGTGGATTATATGCATAACACAAAGCGCATAAACAAAAAATGAATACGGATCCATGTCATGGAGGGTACAATTAACGAATCATAATCAAATCAACACATATTTCTATCGGATTCCTAAAAATATGCACGCATCTGAAACTCTAGAATTCATGAGCGTTTGATTTAATTGTTAAAACAATCGAAGATTAAGGCTTTAAACTTGCCTGTGGCGGAGCGTTTGATGGTGGGGAGGAACCGTCGGTCGGCAAGCAGCGGCTGAAGGCGAAGCGCCTATCGGCGAGCGGCGGCTGAGGCGTGTGAGCGTGGAGAGACCGGTGACAAGTCGAAACAGAAAATTGAGAAACCAGAAATTGCAAGTCCTTTATTTTACTGCGGAGTATCTTTTTTTTGCAACTTATCAAAATTAAATTTTATCCATAATTAAATAAAAATTATACAAATCAAAATATATTAGTAATTAGATAAAATATTACTTGAATAATATTAAAGGTTAAATCTAATAAATATTTTTGATTCATTATCTAATATAATTTTTATTTAATCAAAATTTAATAATTTTGACTATAAAAATGAAAATTCAACAAACAATCTAGAACAAAAATACTACTACATACTATAATATCCAATTTTTTCTACGCAATAATTTCGTGATAGCTTTGTTCGTTTTGAGTTTAACTCTTAACTTCTTATACTTTTTCCCACCCTTTCTAGTTTCTTTCAAACTTTTTAAATTTTTTTCAATTTTTTCAACAATTACTTAAAAAAATATTTAGGTGTATTTTCATATTATTATTATTATTTCAATAAAATAATAAATTGATTTCATGTCAATATTTATTTAATTAAAAAATTCCTCGAGATAACTTTAAGTTATTATTATAGAGTCAATGTAAATTATTAAAATATTAAATTAACTAATTTATAATTCTCTATTTAATTAAAATATGATTATGCTAAATGCGATGCCATTAATAACTCTTATCAACATTATTGTATATGTTACAAGCAAGTAAAATTAAAATAAATAAAATAAAGTTTTAATTTATTTTTAGTGTTAGTTTTATGATATGATGTGATTTACTTTTTACCTGAATATAGTTTTATTATACCTTTGTTTGGGGTTTTTTAAATGAATAAATAGCGAGTGTATTTGGCTTATCTAAGTCATATTTTGGATGATTATATAAAAAAGAATAAATCATGATAAATAAGTAATTTCTAATGCAATATTGACATCACGCTCGTCTCAAGTCATTTCTGTGATTATCTTTACATATAAATATACTGTAAAATTTATTTTTTGGTCAAGACATTGTTATACTTCCTCCGTTCTCAAAAACACTTCCTCTTTCATTTTTTCCACTTCCAACAAAACACTTCCCCTTTCTATTAAAAAACCATTTTTACTCTTACTTTTTCATACCCTACCTATCACATCATACTTTTTCTCTAATAATCAATCCATCACATCTTACTTTTACCCATCACGTCAGGGGCAAAATTGAAAATCAACTATAATTTAACACTTCCTTGTTTTTGCCCCCAAATCAAATGGGAAGGATTTTTCCAAACGGAATGAGTATATTATTTGTGGCCAGATTTTCTTTCAACTGAGATTACTAAAAGTATTGCTTCATATGTTTCTTTATTTTTTCTCATGGATTAGTGGATTAGTCACATAGAATAAGAAACAAAAAGTTATATGATAAAAATTAATTTTAAAAAGTAAATAAAATAAGAGTATACAAAAATTACTAATATGACTTGATAAAATAAAATGGAATAGAATAAAAAAGAGATAAAATAAAGTAAAAGCTAGAGTATAATTATTTAAATAAAGTATGAAATTTATACAGAGTAACATAAAATAATTACTTCAAAATTTTTTAATTTTATCCAACTCCGATCTTTCCAGTATCTTGTTCTTCCAAGCTCAATTTTCTTTCAACATTCAAATTTTTTTACTACTAAACGAACATAACCTTATCGAAGTCCATGTTTTACATGTTTGAGAAACATAACCTTTTGGATGATAATATAAAAAAGAATAAATCAAGATAAATAAGTAACTTCTAATGCAATATTGACATCGCGCTCGTCTCAAGTCATTTCTGTGATTATTTTAATATATAAATATACCGTAAGATTTATTTTTTGGTCAAGACATTGTTGTATATTATTTGTGGCGAGATTTTCTTTCAACTGAGATTACTAAAAGTATTGCTTCATATGTTTATTTAGGTTTTTCACATGGATTAGTGGATTAGTCACATAGAATAAGAAACAAAAAATTATATGATAAAAATTAATTTTAAAAAGTAAATAAAATAAGAGTATACAAAAATTACTAATATGACTTGATAAAATAAAATGTAATAGAAGAAAAAAAGAGATAAAATAAAGTAAAAGCTAGAGTATAATTATTTAAATAAAATACTCCGGGGTATGAAATTTATACGGAGTAAAATAAAATAATTACTTTAAAATTTTGTAGTTTCTTCCAAGCTCATTTTTCTTTCAAGATTCAAATTTTTTTACTACTAAACGAACATAACCCTATCAGAGTCTATATCTTACATGTTTGAGTAATTAACTCAGAAAATGAATGAAAAATGTTAGTCTAGGATCTAGCACGTCTTTGTAAAAGGTGTATTTATATTTGTCAATAAATAATGTTTCACATTTTTTAAATCGATGAAATAGTTAAAGATAATTTTGTGCTAACATGTAGATGGATAAGCATTTATAGTCAATAAATAATGTTAAAAACATATTTAAACCAATAGCTAGGTAGAAGTATGATAACTTTGCTCTCTTTGTGATATAATATTAGAGACATTTCTAGTATTTTTCTCAAAGATGATATGTTAAGAATAGTAATGTCTATGAAGAATGCATACATAATGAGTACTTACAAGTAATATATTCAAAGATATTATATGAGGTTGAGAGTATTTTATGAAGGGCTTGACCAATATTAGGCTAATTTTAATTTTCTTAAGGTAGTGTTTGACAACTAGCATTTCATTTCAATTCATGCATTTCAGTTTCAAAATTTGAAATCTTGAATTTCAAATGGTAAGGGGAGGTGCATGAATTTCAAATTAAGCTTTGTTATGAATGAGAAAAATTTGACTCAAATCCAAATTCCAAATTTTTAAGTTTCCCAAACATGTTGTATTTTAGGTTTCCCAACATTTGAAACATGTTGGATTTGTATTTGAAATTCAAATCCATGTTCCCAAACATACCATAAAAGAAATTACATCGTCACAACAATCTTCATCACATGAAATTTCTTTTTTTTTGAAAATCCACTTTCTCCTTTTCAGATAAAAACTTTTCTTTTTTCAAATCAATATCTAACCTCTACGTTTTAAATTTTCAAATTTTTGAACACTTCTTTAAATTTCTGTGAAGTCTAAAAAAATAAATTCAAGGGCACGGAGTAAAATAAATCAAGCATCGCATCCAAATAAAATGATGATGTACTATTCAAAGATTGTGATATGGAGTAATTTTTATGTAATTACATATATTCATTGATTATTTGATATTCAATAAAATAATATAAGTATACAAGTTTTTGAGTAAATTTTTTTAAATATACGAATACATGCTATAGAGTACTAATTTCATATTCTATAGCAATTATCTTAGTTTGACTTCATGAGTTCATGAGTTTAAAAGAATGGTTGAAAAGTAAAAAAGAAAGGTTGAAATTTGCTTAGGATTAAAATTTATTTAGAAGAAAGAAAGATAACAATATATTCGTCCCTAAATCATTTACCTTTTACGCAAAATGAATTAAAATCTCAATATTTTTTCAAATAATTTTATTTAATGACATTTAAATAAAAAATAAAATTTACACATTTAAGAAGTATTTCAAAAATTCTACAAAACAAAAGGTGATAAGCATTTGTCATTTCATCAAATAGTTTATGAAATCACACAAATAAACAAATGTTTTCGTGATTTTTGAATAGTAAAATGCGTAAATCATTTAGGGACGGAGGGAGTAAACATGTATTTGTATTTTTACTTTGTTAAGCATATTCTTCATTTCAAATTAGATTTTAATTTCTCATTTACAAAGCAAAGTCATCCCATACTTTTTGAAATTGTTTTACTTAAAAATTAGCATAAGAATAACATATAAAATTTAGATACTACTCCGTAAAAAATTACGCCGATAGATCTACAAAACAAAAAATGACAAGAATATTTATTTTATCAAATATTCAATGAAAATATATACAAAATGCACCATTAAAGTGATCGATAATTAGATTTCAACAAAATAACAATCATTTTTGAAATACTCCCAATTCCTTGAGCATTAATTTAAGAATTGTACTATATATACTCTAAAAATTGTATTTCAGTTTGTACCTCAAACACATACATCAATATTTTATATTTGTTTAATGCTAGTGTGATAATTTATAATTATTAAAATATTGATACATTCCCTTTGTCTTGTTATTAGTTTAAAGTTTTTTTTCATACGGAGCAAGTAAATCTTTCCCAAGACTCCAACAGTAACCCGGCCGTACGAGGTTTCAGGACCAACCTCAAAAAGTGATTGGGGCTCTGTCGTGTCCTCCACCCACTCCTGTGTTCACACACACACCCTTCAGTGTTTCCAACTCGTTTGCCAAAGTAAAACCCATTTCCCAAACACTGCTGTGGACCATTCTTGTCCTTTGTACACGGTTTCTTGTTTTAATAAACTGATCATAGAGATTGATTCCTCCATTCCATTTTTTGTGGATTTCTAGTCACCGATTTGATCATAGATACACAAACAGATAAACCCACTTGTTTCTCTCTTCGAAGCCGCCGCCGATGGCCTTGCCGCCGTCTCTGAACTCCTTGCCGGTGGGTTACCGCTTCCGCCCGACCGACGATGAGCTCGTCACCCACTATCTCAAGCTCAAAATCAACGGATTTGAAGACCAAGTCCGTGTGATTCGCGAATTAGACATTTGTAAACTCGAGCCATGGGACTTGCCTGGTCTGTACATTATTAGTTTATTACTATTATTATATCCTCATTTTCGTTTGTGCAATTGAAACAAGAATTTGGTGCAAAATTATGGGTTTGTTGCAGATTTGTCTGTTGTTCAATCACATGATAATGAGTGGTTCTTCTTCTGCCCGGTCGACCGGAAGTATCAGAACGGGCAGAGGATGAACCGGGCTACCGAACGAGGGTACTGGAAAGCCACTGGGAAAGATAGGAATATACTAGGTAAGAACCGAGTCTTGGCTGGGACGAAGAAGACTCTGGTGTACTACGAAGGCCGAGCTCCCGGTGGAAAGAGGAGTAATTGGGTGATTCATGAGTATAGGGCAACGGACGGTTCCCATGATGTCCAGGTCTAGACATTTGACATATACTTCCGTGTGTCGTGACACCACGAATGACATCAAAGTTGACCGTGGAGA